AAAACAGTGAAGAGACTGATGAATGGTGTCTAGCTGAAAACGAGGAGGGGCACATAGAATTTCGTTGTTGCTTCGGAAAAAAGAAGCAATTAAATATACTAATTGACAGATGGAACATGAGCCAAGGTAAAATATGAGTAAATTTGCTGCTGGCAATGAAATAAATGAAGATGGAATTGATCAAATGAAAACAATGTAAACAAATCAGCCATAGTTCATGTAAGTCTAGTGCCAAGATTCTTCAATTATAACATATTATCAGACAGTCAAATTTTACAACTCCAGAATGAAGGATGTCTCTACATTTAAGTCAAATGTTTTGGTGTGATGGAATAAATATTGTGTATCCTGTCAGGAATAAACAAATGTCTAAGACAGGGTCCTTATAAAAACCTAAGCACATGCACCTGCGATAGAAAACTTGATAGCAAAAACATATTACTATATATATACATCCTTGATTTCTGTTTACTCGTGATAGCTTTTTGTATGTTTTCCTTTTTCTGAGACAAAAAGAAAGTGTATAAGAATGAAATATGACTTGTAATAAACGCTCTTTTAGCTTATATATCTAATATTGGTATACAAATGCAGACAAATGATATGATCTCGTGCCAGAAGTGTGTGTATAACTCGATCTAACATCTCACACAATAAACGAAAGAATTATTATCAGGACATGGAGGAAATTTATTGTCTGGAAATACTTACAAAGAAATCGACGAATAACTATCAAGTACATTAAAAGTATTTGTCGAACAGTGCGTGATTCACATCAATTGTAAATTTTATAATGACATCTTACCTGCATACAGTGGTTACTGTACATATCAGGAAATATAACATATTACTACACCATCTGCATCAGCAACTTTGTTTTTGTTCATTTTGAATGAAACATGCCTTTAAATTGGTTAAGTTACCCTTAAATATAGCAATAATTAAGTATAATCATGATATGAGCCGTGTCACGACAAAACCAACATAATGGGTTTGCGACCAGCATGGATCCAGACCAGCCTGCGCATCCGCGCAGTCTGATCACGATCCATGCTGTTCGCTTACCAACCCTATTACATGTAGAGAAACTGATAGCGAACAGCATGGATCCTGATCAGACTGCGCGGATGTGCAGGCTGGTCTGGATCCATGCTGGTCGCAAACCCATTATGTTGGTTTTGTCGTGACACGGCTCATATAATATCCACTCTTTACTTTCTTTTCTGTTTTGTCATCTTGATCAGACGTACATTTTCAGAAAACAAATAGGATTAAAATATTTAGCAATTTTAATAGCAAAATGCTATATATTTTGAAGTTTCCGGTCTTGGCAGAAAAGAATATCTGATTGTTCTATATAAAGTTGTTAAGATCAAAAACAATTTCATATAAGTAATTGAAATTTGATAGTTACTGTGCCCTCGCCATATTAACTCAAATCAACAAGATAATCAACTTGGCGAGAAAGAGAAATTCCATAATAGTCCGTCTCTCTACTGATCTTCGGTGACGTTAGCTAGTTCGCCTATTTTAAAAGTTTAAATCAATTTACGTCAAGGCCATATACGAAAAAACATCCAACGTGACCCAAAAATGAATATCGTTGCAGCGCTATTTTTAGAAACAAAATTTGCAAATGTAACTCTTACTATATTTCTATATGTCTTTATTTTACATCACTTAATCTTAATCAAAAGATATTAAATTGTCTGTTTTAGGCATTCTGAACTCCTTAAATAAATGTATATGTAGGCTATTAATATATTGCCATATAAATCAAGCCTCTTGCACGTTAGGCGAATACTTAGCTGAAATTTATCGCAGAGGTTCTTATAAAAATAACTTATAAATGGCATAGGAATAATGGCATAGGAGTACTATATTAGTTTTTGTCTTTTTTTTCAAAATGAGTCTGCCTTATTCTGTTAAGACGTTATCAATCTCACTACATCATACGTACTGTATAGATGAAGAAATTGCCTTTTTGGTTCTTCGATTTAATTAAAGTTTAGTTCTATAGACTAAAATACAGACTTTACCATTTATTATTCAAATAATATATATTATTATATGTTCAATCTGTTTTCAGTTCAAAAATTGATAGACTTAAATTCTGTATAGATGATTTTGTCCTAAATAAATATCACATTTTTCGCAAATAGACGTGCTCGAATTATTTTATTTTTCCCTTGAGAAATTTCGATTTTATGAATTTGACATTTTCCGCTTGACAGAAAGTTGACTGAGTAAAGTGTTCAGTGGCAATTTATGCTATAATTGTTCATGGCGCCAAAAAAGGTTCAAAAATGTATAAGAACTTGAAAATTTATATTAAGAGATAAGCTTTAATGTAACCAACTGACAAAAAATAAGTTTCAGTAAAATGCAGAGGTCTCAGACATTACGCATAAAACCACGATGTAATTCATAAAAACTGCGCAAACAGGTATACATTAACCCTTTACCCGATATACACGCCTTTTAACGCCTTTTTCACCCCCCCCCCTTTTACTGTTGTCTCAAATGGTAAAGAAATGCTTTATTTAGGCCCCAACACTTGTTTTTGTTTAAGAAATGTTGTTTAAAAAAGTGACCACTTTTTCGGCGCGGACCTCCAAAATCAACAGATACATCAGGGGGATGTGCCCCCTTCTGTTTGGAGGGTTTGAAGGGTGCGGCAGTCCCCCTCATCGCCAAGAAAATTTTGGACTTGTGAGAGGCTGAAAAGCATTTGACTCTATCTCAATCCATTGAGAAGTTGCAGCACTTTGAACTCAATTTTGATGGAAAAAATCAACTAAAAATAGTGACTTTTGACAATTTTGAGATGTCCCCTCGTTGCCATGGTAACAGATAAATTTAAGCCTGGGCATGTTGTTACAAAGGCAATGGTCAAGTCAACATTTGTGCCAAGTTTGATAAGTATTGAATCAGTTTTTATATTTTTATAGCAATTTGAACTTTAAACGGGATACTTTCAATGAAAACAGCCATTTTCCATAATATGCTCATGAGGGAGAAGAAAACCTTCATCAATAGATAGATTCTAGTGACTACGTCTATTGGCGCACGTTTTATAATAGGTCGCAACGTTAAGGTGATTCCGCTTTGTCAGCCATGTTTAGTTTCACCAAGTCTGTCCAAAGTGAAAGTAGGCCAAAATTCAAATAACAAAAAATATTACAATGTAAAATAATGAACCATTTGAAAGTACACTCCCAGGTCTATGTTTTAAAGACTATTAAAAACAAAAATAAAAATGATAACAATAAAAATATTTACCTTGAATGTGCTACATTTCTGAAGACCAAGTACAATCTGCTGTTTTATGCAAATTTCATGAATGGCAAAATCCAGTTTAAAGTCTGCCTTCGTGCAGACAAATGCTATTTATTGCAGTCTTAATCGTGTTATACCGATTAAGACGCATGTTTTTTAAAAAAATCAAAAATAGCGGTAGTGCACCAAAAGGTGTATTTGATCCACAATTTTGTAATACTATCATAAACGTATGTGTACAGTAACATATTTTCTTTTCTGCAATATAGCAAATTCGATTCACATATATTCCATATTGGATTTAAGTTTCATTTTGAAATTCAATAGCATTATTAGAATAGAATGCATAAGGGAAAATAATTTCTAATGCGGAAGGAAAGACTTGTTGAAATGTTTCCTGAAATAATCTAAAGAGATTTTCCTTTTTAAGAACAAAACGGAATTTCTGAAAAATTGGATTTGTAAAATCATTCATAGAGTTTAATATTTTTAAATAAAACATTTGTAATCGTTGGTTAAAATATACCAGGTTCAAATAGGTATGAAGTAAGTAAAAAACGAATAGTTCCAAGTAGTGTTTTCTTGGTTTAATAACAGTAAAAATACTGATTATCAAAAAAATCTGGTTTAATATCAATAAAGAAGAATTCAAATTCATTCTTTGAAACTTTGAGCTCAGGCAAATGTAAAAACAAGTGTATACTAAAAGTAATGTATATTTCTTAAGGAAAAAATGGGGTGCAACCATACAACCGGATGTTCAAACCCTACTCTTGTCAAGACTACAGCTTTATATTACAGCAGTGCTGCCAATTAAATTGATACAAACTAGAAAGTGATTTACTAGTATATAGGTTATTTGAAGATCGATACATACTAGAAAGTGATTTATATACGGTTATTTGAAGATCGATACAAACTAGAAAGTGATTTAAATACGGTAATTTGAAGATCGATACAAACTAGAAAGTGATTTATAAACGGTAATTTGAAGATCGATACAAACTAGAAAGTGATTTATATACGGTAATTTGAAGAGACCCGCATTAATATGTTTAAACTCAAGAAGAATTAAGTATTTGTCACTAAATTGCAACGAAATACTTAAATTTTATTTTAAAGTGAATAGTGTAGGAGATATGTACTGACATAAGCCGGGTACAAGAAATGTGCCTCACCCTAAAAGAATCATGAGTAAAATTTGTCGTGGCAGTCAAATACACGTGATAGGGCCTAGTCAGGGTGAAATAAGTTTGTTTATAAATTGATCAAATTCTTAAAATTTTGTTTATTAGTTATGACAAAAATATAAGAAAAAAAATAAACAAACATAATTGCTGCGAACAAAAATAATGAAGGTGGCTGAAAACGCCAACTTTACATTTGTGAATAATTTATATTTTTGTGTGTTTGTTTCTATAATTGGGTCAAAAGTTACGTTTTCATGAAGAAAATTGTAAATACCCTATATGTGACCAACAAAAAATACAAAAGTCATTGAAATCACATACGTTTCATTTTTAGAAAGTGTAAATATATTTACATAAATAAGATGATAAACTTTTTTACCATTCATTACTGAAAAATTAGGGTTCGGTTAATTGTTACGTGTAGATAAACATACATCAGTGTTGTAAATGTACAATTGCCAACTTGTTTTATCAAATATTATTTGAACTAGATTATGGACAGACAACACTTGATGGTTATATTGATAACATATTGTGCGGGTATGACACTTTATTTAGATTTTGTTGTTGAGTAAGGAAGCAGGATGAAAGTGTTTGTCGTACTAGTAGTGTTCAGTGTGCTGTTTCAGGCGTCTGCTGGGTCGATATGGGGATGGCTAACTGATGACGCTGAAGCAGCTGAAAGTGCTCTAACTCCTGAAGAAGGTATTTCTTTTTTCTCTAATTATTTGAAATAAAATTCGTTCGTTAGAGACATTATTTGGATAATCCAAATCCATTATTTGGCTGTTGGGCAAGTGATTCGATTTTAGAATATATTTATTTACTATTTTTCTTTTAACTACTGTAGTGATGTTGAGCTTATTTTTCATCAAACTTAATCAATTTCTTTTTATATTAATAACTGTCAAAGAACAATATTTCAATTAAGATGAAATTGACTCTCATCATTAGACAATATACATGTATTAACACAAATAGATATGGGTGTTTGCAAGTTACACACCATCTTCGTGCTATTAATGCTTACAACTTATTCAATTTTGCGAAAAAGGACATCACTGTCGGGTTGAATACTGCAGTGTTCTTATTGAATAAATGTAAGTTTGATCTTTGAAATAATATAACTTGTCTTGCGTATCCGAAATAGATGTAAAAATGTTAAGTAGCACAATTTTTAACTGGTAATTTATTACATGCATCAAGGTCGTGTACATCATGTAATTACAAGTACAAGGGAACCCATAAACAAAGCAAAGCTAAAACTTAATTGATGATTATGTTACAGGATAGTATCTAGGTAGCATGTTTAGCTGATAAAAAACGGCCACACATTTTGTATTGTAACGAATTGCACTAGATTTCGAACATGGTGTTACGCTGATACGTTTAGCCATGACCCCACATCATGTGTTCGATAGTTGGTTATCGGACATTCAACTTTGATTATACACCTTTTTATGTTGCCTTACCCATTAGTATCAAATTATTTAAACCATTAATATCAAAGTCGGATATATAGCTTATTCATATATACCTTTAAAAAAGCAGGCAGTAAACCAAATTTTCTTTAATTCTTTTCAAATCTTTCATTAAAACGATACTTTCATTTTTTCTAAGTTTAGCAACCTAAACTGGAGAAGTAAAGAGGTTCATAGCTTATAAAATGAAAATGATTCGACATTCTATATCGTATTTTTTACAACTAGTAGATAAAAGTCTTTTAGAGGTTATCCTCCATTCAAATCCTGTTTTGTAAGAATATCTAAAAATCGTTGCAAATATTGTAAACTGTAACATGCCATGACAAAACCAACACAATGGGTTTGCTTACAAACTTTATAACATGTAGAGAAACTGATAGCGAACAGCATGGATCCTGATCAGACTGCGCGGATGCGCAGGCTGGTCTGGATCGATGCTGGTCGCAAACCCATTATGTTGGTTTTGTCATGGCGCAGCTCAAATATGATTAAACAAAACAAGGAGATACTGGATCCATCATGGAGACTAAACTTACGTGACACAAATACGAGTGTCGCTCTTTACAGAACAACGGAGAGATACATCAAAAACGTTGAGCAATTTCCGTCTGTACTTTGATCAATATAAAATCTGCCTTCGTGATCCAGTTTTATTCTTTTCATTTTACGGTTATCTGGGTGATGCAAGGTCGTTCCTTAAAGGTCAAATAAGATCAGACCACTTTTCTAACTGTTGTATGTATAAAATGTGGAGATAAATAATTTTGCGTGATAAAGATAAAGTTGTTTAATGTCAACCAAAGTTACATAATTATACACATGTAATATTTATAAATAGATACCACTCCTGCTAATAAGCGTATATTTTTGTACTCGGTTATTATTATTAGTTAAATGCTTATTCACTACATTTCAAAATCAATATACATGTATTTCTTTAAAACCATACTATTAATGTAAATAATATTTTGTGTTTATAATACATGTATGATGATAAAAGCGAAATGATTTTTTTTAATTATTTTGATACCTGTTGGTAAACTATTGGTAAAAACAGAATGTTAAGAAGATATTTGTTTAATTAAGTGTAAGATCGGGATATATTTCATCGAGTAAGCACCCAAAGGTATATTTCAAGAATGGAGCAGCCACGAGTGTAATATGAACTTTTGGTGTTCACGAGATGAAAAATAATTCGATCTTACACTAAACTTAACAAATTTTCTTTTTGTTATATGCAAGTAAACGTTTAAAAAGACATTTTAACCTCATACTAAATGTAAAACGCGCCAAATAATAATAAAACAACTGAAACAACGTAACGGGCATAAATTCAATAAAGTGAAAATTATCGAATTGATAATTTCACTGTTTCAAACAGTGAATTATCAGTTTTTATTTCACTTATGTATTTCTATAAATCACCGAAAAGAATGTAATAAAAAGTTGTCTTTACAATTGTATGAAAATATTTTTTAGAAATATAGCACAAATGCAAAATTTAAAAAAAAAGAATTGACTGGTTGATTGGGATCTTGTTCACCAAACAGCAAACAAAACTTTAATACACCAAATGAACTTTACGATTTTCTCGACAATGGTATCACAGGAGTAGATTTGAGATTAGCTGTTTTCTCCTTAAAGAAAAATCCAGACTCCAGATCTCATGTATCTCCATATCTACTAAAATTATTAAATAAAATGTTAAACGATGCGGATAATCCAAGATTTTGGGGTAAAAGTTTGAAATCACCAATAAATGGTTAGACATAAACGATCCTAATTGCTAAAGGGGTTAAGCAATGTTATGATATAGATTTACTCACATGTTTGTACTAAGTAAGTTAAACAAATTGGCAGGAATAAACAAAGTGAATGACGCACAGTCTGAATTCCAAAAAAATCTGTAGTCATATATTCATATTCTTTTCAATACTTGCGAAGACGTTTAGTGAAAACAACAAGTTATTTTTGTTTATTATTGAGTTAACAGAATTGCAAAAATTTATTCGAACAAGAAAAGTTCATAATAACTACATCATTAAAAGCAATATATTCTGTGGTCAAATATTATGTGCGATATAAAATAGAACATCTGGGTGGTTCGATTCTAAAGCAAACCTATCCAAGTTCCGGTTTGATGTTTTCATTATTCGTTAATGATGTCATATCAAATATAAAAACAGAAAATGGCATCTTTGTAATAGAAGATTTCAAACGTTTTCTTGACGATGCAGTGCTGTTTGAACAAGATCCCGTAGCACTGCAAAATATGCTAAATGATTTACAGAAATACTGTTACACATTGGGAATATAAATCAGTTTCACAAAACAGTAACAGCATTCCAAAAAACGGCCGTCATAATACTTTTAAAATCTACCTTTGTAATACCGCATTTAAATACCTTGAATTCAATGATGAAAGATTAGGAAAAAAATGCTGTCGAATGATATATCAAAGAAATAAAATTGTATTTAATTGACAAATGGTGCATGTATATCATTTGTACATCATTAGCATATATACATATATAACTTTATGAACGAGAGATTCAAACTTTTATATGACTTACATGTATTTTCATTTACTGCAACAATCTCCCATTTAATATATACATGCCTTTATCATAAGGTATAATACATTATATATTTTAAAGTAAAGACTTTCAAAGTATACTGTTTGGAACATATTTTAATTCGCGTAAATACTGTGTTCTCATGGTATCAAATAGTACATGTATAGGACACCTGGGAAGATTATTACTTTTTAGTCTTCTAAGATGACACCGAATAATAAAAAGAACTATATATTTCAAACGTACCTTTTTGAAAATTTCTTTGTTGTCTTTCAAAAATTGTCTAAAAAACACTGTTTAACTAGGCTTTCAAAGAATTGTGCATAGAACAATAAATACAAGTGTGAAACCTTTTATTTAGCCAATGTCAATAAGCACGTTTTAGTAACAATAGCATTTAATTCTACAAAATTTATAAACATTTACACAGTAAATATCCAAGAGCACTAATGTAGCGCCCATGAATTTTTCTAAATGGTGTCCTTTATCAAACAATTTACATTTGGAAAACAATTCACTTGAAAAGGCCTTCAAAGAGCATGGCTAAATTGGTTACAAAACTAGAACAAAATACAATGTATAATAAATTAGACATGACAGTGATGCCACTTATCTCTACAGGCCGTGGATTTCATAAATAACATTAATTACAACTTCTAGAAATGCACAAAATTATTTGTCAATCCAAAGTGTAACAGAATATACCTCTATTACAGCGGATGATGAAAAATGTCATTTCAACATTCTAATAAAAAAGGTATAATTTTCAAATACGAAATGATGCTTTATTGAAACAAAATACATTTGTAGTAAAGTACAAGGGGTTGTTTATTTAAAAATTTTCAATTTATATAATTAAATTACTAGTCACTGAGGAAATCGTTACGCTTTTTCTGTATTACAGATATAACAGAAGAATGTCTACAACTGGCAAGTTGGGGTCAGTGTTCATTCTATGACTGTTTGGAAAGAAGGTTCGGGTGTGGTGATGAAGGTTACACGAATAGAATTAGTAAACACTTCTGCACTAAGATTGATGACAATTACGAGACTTTTGATGATTTCGTAAGCACATTATACATACGATATTTTTTGTAAACAATGTAAACTACGAAAAACACGTGTTCGCTGTTATCTATTCAACTAATATTGATTTTTAGTGATGTGATACCTAGAAGCTAAAAAATAAAATGTTTAAATAATTAAAAAACCCCCTTGTACTATTTAAATTTATTTAATCAGATTTGAGTACAAATTTTAAACTTTTAAAATTCCCTTTTTCCCCCTTTTTAATTAAAATGAAGTTTATTTGGAAACCCAAAAAAGCCGGAAAGGCCTGGTTTTTCTAAAATTAGAAACCAAATTAAAAAACCATTTGGTATATAACAAAGGGGCCTTTTATATATAAAATGCTAAATTTGTCTTTTACAAAAACAAAAACTTTAAAGGTTTTTTCAAACTTTTAACAATAAGTTGAATATAATCAAGAGAAAATGTAAATTGTTTATAAAAAAACGTAATTTTCTAATTTTGATCTGAATTTTCTGCAAAATTCCCTTTACTCTTCCCAAACTGATTGGCAAAAAAGGCAAAATAGTCTTAATGTAATGTCGTTCTGGCCGTTATATGAAACCGGGCCAATAGCTTTTTTTTCTCGTCAAATTGAACATAAAATCATATTTTAATGTACTTTCATTGTATAAGTACTTGCATTTCTTTCCAAACAATCAAATACAGTTATGCCAATATTACACTTCTGTTAACGCAATGTAAGGGAACTAACAGTAAATGATTCAACGATGATCTTATGTCCCACAATTACCTCTCTCACATGTCTTATTTCTTTATGATTACCAAATAACTATATGATTAACTATCACTTTAACATAATTATTAGATGCATGACCGACACGTCTAGTAAGAAAATAAAAATACTTACTAATTATAAATTAATATTAATTAAAATACGCAACACATGCTGCTGATGCAGCAAAATCGTAAATCATAAATTGCTGACTGATTAACTGGGGAAAGAGACACTAAAGTATACATGTACTTACTCCTATGATTTCATGGGAGATAAGAGCCAAACAGTCGATCACTAAAACTTCATGTTTTCTGTCTGTTTGTTTAATTCGGTTTTACGGCACGCCGACACAGTAATATTGTGACGTTCCAGCTATACTGGTGAAGAAAGATCCAACGTTCCGTAAGCTAGCTGAGTAGCTTCCTCACATGAAAGAATCCAAAGTCGCTGTCAGAATTCGAACTCACAGCGGTGAGAGATAAGTGGTTTGAAGCTTACGATCTTAATCACTTTATGATTTAAGTAATTACTTAAGCCGCCTCCTGCCGGCATTCTTACATTTGTTATATTTTCTTTTATCTAGAAACAGTTAATGGACAGACATTCTGTGATTTCTTACAAACAAATGGCGCCGCCTATAATGGTTTGATGGGGAGAGAGGAAGTCATGCTAATGCTGTCTCTAAGAGATCCAAGGTAAAATGAGCCGCGCCATGACAAAACCAACATAATGCTCTTGGGACCAGCATGGATCCAGGCCAACATAGTGTGTTTGCGCCAAGCATGGATCAAGACCAGCTTGCGCATCCGCGCAGTCTGATCAGGATCCATGTTGTTCGCTTACAAACCATATTACAAATAGAGAAACTGATAGCGAACAGCATGGATCCTGATCAGACTGCGCGGATGCACAGGCTGGTCTGGACCCATGCTGGGCGCAAACACACTATGTTGGTTTTGTCATGGAACGGCTCAAATAATTATATCCGGTTTTTGTTGTTGTTGGTTTGTCTGTTTGTTGTTGCTGTTTGTTTTTGTTGCTTTTGTTTTGTTTTGTTTTTTAGTTCCAACTTTATGCTTTCAAATAGGCATTTGGAAGCAGTGGCATAAAAATAATTGGAACTAATCCGTTTAATTTTACCTTAAATTGCAAAAGCAATTTTTAGTGGTATTGGCATACATAAACTAGTTAATACTGTCAATAAAGCTTATAAAATATAATGTCCTCACTTGTTCTCCATTTCAGAGTTTTTCAGAGTATGGTGTCAGACGCTGTCGGCTGTGGTGTACAGAGAATTGGACAAACCATGAGTTCTCTCGGAAGTTCTGTCAGAGAACTGGGAGGTAGCATGTATTCCAGTGTCAGAAGTTGGTTCACCTAGACATAATACAGGCATTGTTATGATGATGTGAAATATGAACAATGTACAACATATTGAAATATACGAGTTTTAGTTGTTTAAACAACATATTAGCAATTATGATAAGATTATTAAAAGAGTGAAACTCTGTTATTTGTGTTGAATATTATACATTTTGAAATATAGGCAAAGAGTGCCTGGATAATAATATCCCGGCATGGTAATACACACAGATGAAAATGCGATAGATAATCAGTCGATTTCGATAAAATTGATATTCCTTTTTCTTTTACTTCGGTTCTGGTGCGGCAAATGAACCATTGCGTATTAGGAATAATGCGTACTACGAATACAATTCTTAAAAACTAAATCTTATAATTATGTCCACCAATAGTTATGATACTTTGGAAAAGAAATGCTAGTATGGACCTTTCTGTTGAAAATGTGCCAGAGTTAAATCGTTAACATATACATGCACAGTGCGTTAACTGGAGTGCAGGTATTAGTTACCCGCACTCCAAAGCATGTCCATTGATTGGCCAAGTTTTGCTGGGGTTTGCTTATTGTGACTGCAGAGAAAGGGAAAGCGACATAAATATCATATATCAGGTACAGTTTCGGATGCGACTTTTGAGTTTCGTCGGTATAAATAAGTACAATACCGCATTTAAAACTTTATTGTTTTGACATTCGGTATACCTTAGACTTTCGCCAACTTCAAGTATCATAAAATAGTACAAGCAAGTATATAAAATATCATTCAGGTACTTGAGGTAACAAGCATGCTCGGTGCGTCATGCACGAAATCGGCGTTACTTCGTAAAATTGGTCACAGTTTATATTCTTATTTCAGTATATTATGACAAGAGTAGTTTGGAAAATGCCTCAGGTATACCGAATATCAAATTCAAAAACATAATTTATGCGTTAACTAGTGTTTAAAACATTTCGACACCGCTCAAAAATCGCCTTCAATACGCTAGTCAGGTCGTCATTCGCACGAATGAGCTTGAAAAACAAACAATACCATGTGAATGTTTTAAGAAGTTTGAAAAAAACTATATGCCTCAGCAACAGTATGTGCTAATTCATTTCTTACAATTTGATTTACAATAAAAGATTGATTCATTACTAACCGCTGTGTTCGTTACGGCAATAGAATTGCACAATTCTGCGTTAGTTTTGCACAATTCCTGCGTTATTTTCACATTCCCACGTTACTGAATATACACAATGTATACTCATCTCAGTGTTGTTGTATGATATTAGTTATAAAGATTCTTGACAGGTTATATGGCCCTATATAAACGGTTGTTTGTATATATAACCCGAGCCGCTAGGCGAGGGTTATATTGCAAACAACCGTTTATATACGGCCATATAACATGTCAGAAATCTTTATGACGAATTTATAATACAGCAAGCAGCATTTTTAGAGGATTAAAGCGCGATTTCTTCATAAATCGACAGCAGCCGTGTATATAAAGCTATATAAACGTCAAGATTATCCAATGAAAAGCGACGTTACAAACGTGCAGTATTATAAAGAGATAAATACACGGTAGAGTAGGACCGGAAGGTGATAATCGGCCCGCAAAATGAATATTGGCCCCGAAACACTAAACATGGACATTTTCCATAAGGACCTTTACAGCATCTTCAAGATGAAATTTTCAAGTTATTAAGTTATACGGCCAACAAGAAAAAGAGTCCGGTCATCCTTTAAGTATGCATATACATGTGCTGATACTGATTGCAAACGCTTATCGCTAAATAAGCTCCAGCAGGAGAACAAGGGAACATTGAAGTCAAAACCAAAAGGAATAACACAAGAAAATAGATATAATTATATGTATGACTCGAGATCAGATCAGAGACAAAAGTAACTTACTTTAGTTCTAATGAAAATACATACAAGAAGATAAATATTTTTAATATGGTGTTTGTTGGCAATATTGGCATGAGACTCATTAATTTTCAGGACGTGTTTCGTTATTTTCAGTGATTTGTCACTATACTATATATAGATATCGATACTTTCATTCTTCAAAAATATTGTTCGATAGCCTAGTGGAAAGAACGACGGAATTTTAACTACGAAATTTACAAGTTCCCATCTTGAACAAACTTTTTTTGTAGTTTTCATAAATTGATTTTTAATTTTTGTCAATTATATTGAAACACGAGTTGATAAAGTATGTGTTTCATTTCTAGCATTTTTAATTCAATTTCATCATTTATATGAATAGAGTGGAACAGCTTTTTCATTTCATTAATTTTTATGTAAAGTCGTACAATGAGTGATTCGCATGTAAGAACATAGTTGTCAAGTTTTGCAAAATATAACAAAAGATCATACAAGAAAAACATGAGAAAAATCATATGATCCGAACCAACCACTAACTGCATGTCTTACACCTTGTCACCGAGGCTAGTAAGTCAAGTGATATGCGGGTACGTTATACGTTTACCGTTGTATCATACAGTATACCGACAAAAGGTCATTGAATGTTCAAATGTCTCAGATCAATATTGCCAAACAATCATTATTACAATGTTGTGTATACAAGTATATATTAAATAAGATTTCAAGATTTTTCAGATTTGTTCAATACCGCCATGGTTCATAACATTAAATTATATGACATAAACTACAAAATTGTAAACATGTAACAACCGAAACACAGAAAAAAAATACATTAAACAGGAGAATAAGTGACGATATATTATACTCGTAAAATAAAATAAAGATATCACAGGATTCTTAATAATAATGAAGATTTTAGTGAAACAAATTATTTTACAAATACTCTACAGTCACACGCAAATACTGACCATTTTCAATGTTTTTTTACGGAAGGGTTTGCATTTTATCCATATGAATTGTAGATCTCTTTTACCTAAGATGTCAGAAGTCAAATATATTGTACAAAAATGTAATCCTACTGTTTTTTCTATGACAGAAACTTGGTTAGATGACACAGTTAGTGATGGTGAAATAAATATTGATAATTATATTGTCTTACGTAAAGATAGACATAGAAATGGTGGTTGAGTCTGTGCATATATTCGAAATGATTTGGCCTTTTCTGTAAGGCAAGATCTCAATGAAACTTCCGATGAATTTTTATTCTTTGAACTACTTCTTGCAAGGACAAAGCCATTCATTGTCGGAACTGTGTATAGACCCCCAAAACAAACTGATTTTTTGAATAATTTTGAATTGATTTTATCAAAATTGAGAACTGACTGTGAAACTATAATTCAAGGAGATTTTAATATATGTTTTAAACAAAAAACAAGTTCTTCTTTCAAATATTATTGTAATATTCTTCAGATTATTTCTGAACCAACACGTATTACAGATACAACTTGTAGTTTGTTAGATCATGTTCTTTGCAACCATCAAGATTAAATTTTTCCAATCAGGAACTATTCCTATTGTAGTTAGCGACCATTTTCTTACTTTTTGTACAGGGAAATATGTGAAAATAACTTCAAACAAGCATAATATTGTTAAAATTAGATCTTTAAAGAATTATAGCAAAGACATGTTTGTGTATAAACTTACCAGTACTAACTGGGATGCTTGTTATTTAGCAAATGATGTGAACACAGCCTGTTTGGCCTTTAAAGAGATTTTTATGGAAATTTTAAACCATGTCGCTCCTATTAAACAAATCAAACTTAAACAATCTTCTGAACCTTGGATGTCTTCTGAAACTTTTGAACTGATTAAACAAAGAGATTTATACCTATATAAATTCAAGAAAAATGGCTGCAATGAAGATTTTAATATTTTTTTTAATTTTTAGTGAAATCAAAAATAATGTTCAGAGACAAATCAGTTTCAGTTTCAGTTTTTATTGAACCAAGGCATATAATATGCAACTGGTTATAACAACAAACATACAGAAAAATAACAGTCAAAAATCACAAATATCACAATATAAGAATACAATTATGACTAGCTAAATAAACAAAAAAGGAGATCATATTGTTCAATTCAAGTATTGAATTCAATAAAACATGTATTTTACATTGTAACAAATAGGACGGAGAATGAGAAGTATTAATTATTTAAATTTTAACATAATGTTTTTGCAAAATAAAGATAATTTTAGTAGAATTTTTTGTCACAACTATTCATTAATCTGTCAAGTTTAAAAATATTGGGATAAATATAAATCCTGGGAAGAAGAGATTTAAGTCTTATGTCATTAAAGTAAGAACATTCAAATAAGTAGTGAAATTCATCACCAATAGCTTGACACGGACATAAGGACCAGAGCCTATTATTATGATCAATTGCCAAATGTCTGCCTTTTTCAATTGGTAATAGGTGATTCATTGTTCTAAATTTACATAAATATTTGCCTATGTCAAAAGGAAGTACATCTAGATATTTTTCAAAACAATGAGTGTTGTAATATGTACGATACACTAAACACTTAGAGGATGTATCAATAGTACTATGCCAATCTTGTAAAAATTGATATTGTAGTCTAAGCTTCACAATATTTTAAAGTGATTAATATTATCTACCTTCTGTAAATGAAAATATTCTGACATGCCAAGATTAGTAAGTGTTTCTTTCACAAAATTTATCCATTTAGAATTAACAATATTCCTAGAGGACAAAGACAACATTGTTTTATAAAGAAGTTTACACACCTTCAGAAAAGCTAAATTTGAATATTTTTCTAATAAAGTTGAAGAAAACAAATTTTATCCCAAAAAGCTTTAGCAGAATTTAAAATCCCTTGGATATAAAAATCAACAGAAATCTAATACAAAAATTGTGGTGAGAATTCACACGAGTCAGTATCTGTTGCAAATCATTTTAATGAAGTTTTTACAACTGTTGCAGCCAAACTTGTAGAAAAACTGCCAACTGGCAAGAATTTATTTACTCTTGATTCCACTATTATTAAATAGATTTACTCCAATTCTTACTCACATAGTAAAACATTATTTTTAAATACTGTGTCTGAAAATTTTGTATTTAAAGAACTTTGCAGTTTAAATGTTTGTAAAAGTACAGGTCTGGATGGAATACCTGCAAGATTTTTAAAAGATGGAGCTAGCTTTTTTAAATTACCTGTTGCTTTCATAATAAACATGTCCATCAGAGAAAATTTTGTCCCGGGTGATTTAAAACTTGCCAGGGTGAAACCATTATATAAGAAAAATAGTACACTTGAAGTGGACAATTATAGGCCTGTTAGTATATTAAGTATCATCTCTAAGAAAATAGAAAGAGCTGTATATAATCAATTAGAATCATATCTTGTTAAAAATAATATATTGTATGAATACCAATCTGGTTTAAGAAGTTCACATTCAACTGATACTTGTCTCATACATTTGTTAGATCATATCAGACTGAATAATTCCAAAGGCTTATTTACTGGAATGATAATGAAAGATTTGCAAAAGGCATTCGATACTGTTGATCATAATATTCTTTGTGGAAAACTTCATCTGATGGGAATTACCAATAAAGACTAGTTTAGATCTTATCTTAATAACAGAAAACAATTAGTACATATCATCTCCATCAATAGTAAATTGTGGTGTTCCTCATGTCCATTGCTCTTTTTATGCTATGGAAATGATAGATCACCAGCATCGATTCTGAGTGTAATATATGCTGATGACAGCAGTATACTTTTTTCTCATCATGATCCTGATTTTATTTCACGGAAATTAGGTAAAACTCTAGAATCTTGTTCAGATTGGCATGTTGATAATAATATTAAACTGTCTCTTCATTTAGGCCAAAACTGAATGTATGATTTTGTTCCAAAGAAAAAACTTAAAAAGATTAATAAGTTCAATATTATTTGTAATGGTCACACTTTTGAATCAACTAAGATGTCCAGTTAAATATCTTGGTTTGAAAATTGAAAATGCTCTGTCTGGAGAATAAATTGTTAATACAGTTATATCTAAAGTAAACACTAAGCTTAAATTTTTGTACTGAAACAGTAAATGTCTATCTTTTAACTGTAGAAAACTGCTCTGTTCTGCTTTAATCCAATTTCATTTTGACTATTCTTGTTCGTCTTGGTACGAAAGTTATAAAAGTCTGAAAAAGAAACTGCAAGTAGCTCAAAACAAAGTCATAAGGTTTATAAAAGATTACCATCCAAGAACTAGTTTAACTCCTTCTGATTTTACAGATGTTAAAATGTTAAATATTGAAAATAGAATAAAACAACTAAGACTTAATCATATGCATAAGATTTTTTATAATAAGTGTCCAACTTATATGAAAACAAACTTTGTTAGGATGTCTGATATACACAATTACAACACGTACAAGATCAAATAAGTTTAATTTTTCAATTCCTCATTGTAATAAGACATGTAATGGCACTTTTTTCTATAATGGTATTAAAGTTTGGAATAGTTTGCCAGTTTGTTAATAGTTTGTTAAAAGCCATCTTGCTTCAATTTGGGCTACGCAACATCAAAGTGATTTTTTATATTACTGAGTGGCGACATATGTACACCACGCTTTATTATATTTTTAGTCATCCTATGTTTTCCTGTGCCTTTTTTTCTGTGATAATGCAAAACTGCTATGATAATATAGCAATTATGTGTTAAGATACTGATCCAGTGAGTATTTTTCTTCTGTGATAATGCAAAACTACTGTGATAATAAGATTCTAAGATTAATTTGTAGTCTATCTCATTGTCTATTTTTATCTGAGAAATGAATGTCTCTCTTGTTTCATCTTGTTTCCATCTAATTGGTCTACAGGATCCCATTGGAAATAAGCCACCAGCTTGATGTGCTATCCTTGTATCCATAGATCACTCTTAAACAAGACCATTGTATTGAAATTTTATTATTATTATTTATTCATTTAATTTTTTTCTCTTTTAAAGTCTATGTTAAACTATGTAATAGAAAGAGCATCGAAACACGAGGCTATCTGATTTGTACGAGAGGATGTAGCCCCCCCCCCCACCCGACATTTAATCAGATTGCCGAGTGTTTTGATGTTCTTTCTCTTTTGTATCATAGTCAGTCACGTTCCCTGTTGACACAATATGAAACCCCGGGAAAAAGAAAGCAATGAACGAGCATCTGAATATGATATTTCTGTCGCTTTCCCTTTCTCTTCCGTCACAATAAGTAAACCCCAGCAAAAATGAGCCAATCAATGGGCATACTCTGGTGTGCGGGTAACTATAATACCTGCACTCCAGTTAACGAACTGTACATGTACGTATATATATACGATTTAATTCTGACACATTTTCAACAGAAAGGTCCCCAAACTATGATACAATTCGTTTTTATATATCATGTCTATCAGTAACTTTTAACAATATCCTGTGCTAATTATAATTCTGACTTGTTGTAGTCTTAATCTGAACTGTGATTTTTTTAAAAATAATTTTATCCAATGTCTCATCTGATTTCAGTCATTACAGTAACTTAATTTATTTAATTTATTATTTATATGAAATGATATTTTAATTTGTTAAACTGTTATTTTATATACATGTATATCTTATTATGTAACTGTGATCTATGTTGTTGCAAAAATAAAATAATAATAACCGAAATTTATGGATAAAAGGCTCTTTGTGTGAGTTATTTTCCTTAGCGGTAATTAATACTGCCACAATTGTAAAAGACTGGTCCCCTGCGCACTTCTAAAAAGATGGGAACCATAATAGGACAGGGAACCAGATTATTGTGTACATGGAGATTTACGGAAGTTGTGCAACTTGTATGCAAATGTTTGTAACTTTCAGGCGTGACATCTCACAAGAAGCATCTGAAAAGTTTGTTTTCTAACGCTCTCCTTAAAAGGTTAGTATATGTGCTCAAATATATGTATTAATTATGGAATGTCAATCTCTGTGACGATTTGTTTTTATCGAATTAAAGTGGGTGGGGCAGATGCAGTGTTCCTATATAAGATGCTGCCATTTTTTACAATTTTTTCCCCTTAACGTTGAAAAACTGGAGGTAAATTAAAAAAATCTTAATTTGTAAAGTATGTAGCCAAAATCAAGTAAACAAATGGAATTGGATAATCTAGGAATTACACGGTAACTTAGTTCTGGCTTCCAAAACTTAATAAGGCGCTATTTAACATTTTTGTTTTTCATTAGATGCGGCATTAAAGTTTTGGATTAGACCCGTTACGAAACCTTACCAGAATAACATAAGTTGATTTATTCTTATTTTTCACTTGCAAATACACTTGACCCAATCAATTCTTGTGCATTTTACGATAAAACCATTATTTTAATATTGTTCTATACCAATTAAAGTATCAAAATATTAATACCATCATTAAAATTTCTTATTTAACTGTAAAACATCAATTTACGCCGACTATATTCGTCCATGACATTTAGGTGCCACGCGAGACCTCGTATGATGTCATTCGCGGGAACCGATTTGAATAGAGTCGTGTACTATATTTAGAACATTTTGTTGACATGATTTCGATGTTTTTATTCAAGATAATGTTTTTATTTATTTTCATTATTTTTTTAGTACTTAAATATATAATTTTATTGGATATAAAAGTCAGTAAAATTAAATCACCTTTTTCAATATCTTTAAAAAAAGTAATTTATAAAAATATTGGAAGCACATGGGTTCATAAAGGTCAATCTCGTAATCACGTGGTCAAAAATTTTGGCAATATGGCGGCCAAGTGCCGGAATTTTTACCTGTCGGAAACTAATAGTTAGTTTATGTTAGTAATAAGATTTTTATTTGTCCGTCCTTGGCTTATCAACGGATTCTATATAGTTTTATCAAGATATGCTTCACTTTACTTCATGACATGTTCAATGAATGAATACGAGCGTGTCAGATTCCTGGCACGATTATTGGTGGACTTTCCCTACTGGGTTGTCTTCAGCGTTCACGTCATGTCATAGTATATAATCGGGTACGCTGAAGACCTTAAGCTAATGGTAACTCAGAAAATGTGCACATGTTTGTTTTTGTTTATTTGAAGCCCATTTTCTGATTTTCTGTAAGTATTGTAGAACTGAAACAAGTTGTACTTTAAGCAATTAGTTCAGTCTGTATCATCTTGATCACACTGTTTGCATTTTACATGTACTTTTTACAAAGATGTATTCAGTCTTCGACTTACGCCACTCGACCAACGACATACATAGTCAAGTAATTTGCATTTGTATGAAATTTTTAAATATATTATGTTTATTTTTATTCTAATTTCAATTATAATTGATCCAAACCAAAAAGCAGGCACCAAATTGTAGAAATAGTGTATAAATGAAGCCTTTTGCTGACCATGGCTGATTGTAAAAGAATGTCATTGTGACATATTTAAATTACAACAATTAACATGTCAGCAACAAAAAAATGAGTCTTGTCATTATTTTGCTGTGTATCCTAAACAAACCTTAGTGTAGGGAAGCAAGTGCCTTAACAGAGCAAGTTTTGTATTATTTCACATTGAATCAATATTTTATTGTCAAGTCAATCTAATTTATGTAAAAAAAGGGAACTTTTTAGATTTTAGAAGGCAATGAAAAATTTTCATTGTACCAGTTACTCTAGATTTTGAGGGGAAAACCACTTTGGCCTAAAAAATTATTTGGAGCTCTATATGCACTTAAGATGCTTATGAAATATTATTGATTGCCAGACATTTATTAGGTGTCATCTCAAGCTTCACAATATGTCTTCTCTTGTATACTCAAAACAAAAAGTATAGTCAGTTTTTTGATATTGCGATATATACTACACACTGTAAAGTAGCTTTTTATACTAACATGTGTAATCATGATGAGCACCAGTCCTAAGCTATTCACTATTTGGTGATTTTATTGTGTACTATTGAAATGTGCACGCTTTTCATGTAGACGTCAAAATGCATGTGCACCACATGTTTGCACAGTCCAGTGTCACTATGTTTAATTTTACTAGTGGTACAACATGTTTTATAGTACACAAACCTGAATTCTTAAAAAATTAAAACGTTGTCATGGGACGTCGCTCTGGCATGACGTTAAACAATAGGCTTATAGCTATCTGTATGCCCAACAGTGGATCTACCGTTAATCATGTCGCACTCCATTTTCAAGTGCATGAGCGGACAATTTACCGTCTCCAGTCCAGGTACAGACAAACAAACAGTGTTAAAGATAGACCCCGTTCTGGAAGACTAAAGAAAACAACGCAACATGAAAACAGGTACCTTCTGACGTTGTTGCAACGTAATCGTTTTTTGACGAGCACTGAACTGTTTAGCTGTTTACATACTGCAACAGGAACTAGAATTTTGTTGGGTACGTTGGATTACGGTCCAGACGTCCGTATGTTTTGCCATATCTACGTCAGGGCAACGCTGACGTCCTTTAGCATGAAAACGCCAGGCCACACACAGCTCGGGTAACACAGGACTTCTTGAGGCAAAACAACTTCCGGGTGCTTGACGCTGGCCAGATCCCCGTATTTATCTCCAATAGAGCACCTCTGGGACCATCTTGGCCGCAAAGTACGTCAACCTAATGACTTCAACAACCTGAGGGATCTGGAACAAGCGTTACATGAGGAATGGTTGAACATCAAACTCCAGGTCATCAGACGGCTGATCAACAGCATGAGGAGGTGTTGTTTGGTACTCATCAACAAAGCAGGAGGACATATCCGCTACTGACACCCTCCAGAATTTTGCTTGACCCCCTAGATGACGCGAATGACGTTTAACCATTTAACTTCTTACAATTGATTAAATTTTGTTGTGATGTGGATGAAATTGAAGAAGATACTTTACCGCCCCCCCCCCCCCCATCAAAATGGTACATCAGGGGTTGCCAGAATGGGGATGTGCCCCCTTCTGTTTGGGGGGTTTGAAGGGGGAGGGCGGTAGTCCCCCTCATTGCCAAGAAAATTTTGAACATGTGACAAAAATGGCTAAAAATGGCCTCAGGTCGATCTCAGGGTAACTAGTAAGCGACGCTGAAAAGCCTTTTACTCTATCTCAATTCATTGAGAAGTTGCAGCACTTTGAAATAAGTTTTGATGGAAAAAAACAATGCAAAATAGTGATTTTTCGCAATTTTGAGACGTCCCCCATTGCCATGGTAACAGGAAATTTATGATTGAGCATGCTGTTACAGAGGCTATGGTCCAGTCAACATCTGTGCCAAGTTTCATTAGTATTGAAGCATTTTTCATAGTTTCATAGCAGTTTGAAATTGTAACTGGAGGTTTTTCAATGAAAACTGCCATTTTTCACAATATGCTCATTGGGCAAAAGGTTAAATAATGAAACACCTTTGGTGGTGCTTTTCAGTTTGTATCACATTAGGTTAGTCCAAAACATCTTTCCTGTTTCAGCGCCATATGACCCATACTGTGTTGGTGCTTTGTAAAACCAAACAAACAAGATATCAATTATAACCATTTCCCTTACAATGTTGTTACTGTACTGCAAAATTGTAACTATTTGTTGGGCACTACTTTTAGTGGATAGGTCTATCCATGGAAATTTTATTTTGTCTGCTGTAAGATTCTCTTTGTGTTACATCTTGTACATTATTTTCATTTTCATATTTTGCAAAATCAGGCATTCCATGAATTAAAATAACAACACAAAAATGCCCTTGTTGACAAGAACATGAAATTTCAGCCCTGCAAAATGAAATCAAGTGTATTCACAGTACGATGTTTGTTTGTTTGTTTCAGATATAGAAATGGCTGATGAAAGTAAGGATATCAAGAAGCTTATAAAGCTACAGAAACAGAGACCAGCTTTCTCACGAATGATTTCATGGGAGATTAGTCAAGCTGCAGAACACCAACCTGTCAAAAAAGGCAAACGGAAAAAGAAAAAAGTAATTATAAATGAATGTTTATGCTATTTTTGTTAAAGGCAGTTTAACAAGTATGGCAATTTCTTTTTAAATATACCCAGAAAAGGGATTATTCAAATACACTTTTCACCTTTGATTTTTATCATGTGTTTGAAGAGTTGTCAGAGAGACATAACTTGTCAGTGACAGTTCTCACTAACTGCATGTTAACATTTAGTAAATCAAAAAACTTCAAAAGAAGTCAGGAATTCTCTCAATTCAAAAAGGGAAATATTTCCACAAAATACATGTAGCATGCTAGAAAAATGAGTTTTTGGTTACTGAGCTCATGCATGTCCCTAGAGACTTATGTAAAGTGAATAAAAGAAGTGGTTGTCAAGATTAAACTTACTTGCAATACCTGAACCAGAATTCTTTTTATTCCTTAATGAACATAATTCATTTGTAGGAAGAGTATTTGGTCATGGATAGTGACCAACATTTATTATCCCAATAAAATGTGTGAACTTTCAAATCTATACCTGTAGTGAAATATTTAATTGCATACAAAATCTCAGTGAAGTTTCAGGTCTCAACACAAAATTCTTCAGATTGTTAATTTTAAAATGCTATTTGTACTGTTACTAAATACTGCTGTATCTTATTTCATTTAAAGCCTGCATTTCTTTAAAGTTAGCTGGTTTTGTTAATGTTTTCAGACCCTAGCTCCAGGTTCAGAAGAGTGTGTTAAGAAAGAAGATGATGGTAATGCAAGGGCTGATGATATTGAAGAAACTGTTGATGACAGTAGTGAATATGAGACTGCCTGTGAAGAAGAGGGAGAGATTGAGGTCAGAGGTCGGAGTGTAACAGAATCTGAGGATCAGTTAGAAAGTATTGGTTCAGATATATTAGATTCCTACTTAGATACTGATTGTGAAAATGAAGAGGATGAAGAAGATGAACTATTTATGTCTTGTATTGGAAATGATACAACAGCTGTAAGATCACCTGGGGAGCCTGAACATGGAAGAAGAAGACGTCTTTCAAAGAAACAGAAAAGAAAAAGGAGAGATCAGGCTAAAGTAATATATTTAGATGATCTATTTAATCTTGGAAACTTGTTTGATGCTACTGATGAAATAAGCGATGTTTTCACTGAAGTATTAGCAGCAGGACCAGATGTTGAGATCCAGCATAGAGTTCCAACACTTGTTGAATTGTGTCTTAAAGTAAATAGGAGAAAACAAAGATATAATTCTGAAAAGGGCAAGAAAAGAACCAATACACTAGAAAAAGAGGCCACTGTATTACCATATGGAATGAAGAAACTTATATCGCAGTGGGGATGGAGCCAGAAACAATTGGAAAATCAGTTATCTTTCTTTTTAAATAAAGTATTACCTTTAGTGGAAAACCAAATGAAAGCTAAGGCATATGTTGAAAATAGTAAAAGTGAGACAGATTCTTCTGAAACACCTAAGCCTTTTTTTCCCAAAAGAAGCATATGGGCTATTATACCATTTGCCCCACAAAAGAGTATGTTAGAAAATGGGGACTATGGAAGTGAGAAGACGCCATCATTTTTATATACTGTATCTTCCAGTTATCACACGGACAGTAATAACTTGCATTATACATATAACGACTATTATCTTAATGACAATGTCACCTTGAATTACGCTATGTGGGGTGAGTATTATGTTATGAGTCTTTATTAACTTTTCAATATAAGGCACGCTTTAACTCCAAATCTAAGGCTAATATGAAGTTCACCATGGCATTATGAACATAAAACAAGGCCATTATGCAAAAAGTACAGACTTTATGAGAAAACAATAATTGTTTTCATAATGACCATATTATTGGGTTTAAGACAGTCATATTAGACTTTGGGTTTCGGTCTCAGGCTAATTTGTCAGCCCAATAAAAAGGCCATTATTAAAACACCTAATTATTAACATTATATTATAAGACAACAATACAATTATGTTTGTAGAAAGTCTGACCTTTAAAGTTTTGCAATAAGTATTTATTATTATTTGTTGAACAAGAATTTTTGTTGTTTTTGTGGGTAGGTCAATCCTTGAATTTAAGATCCTTCGAATTTTTATCCCAACAAATACTTCTTACCATGTCTCCATTCTATACATTACAAACATGCATCGGCCCTTTTCCGCCGATTTTTGTGTAATAAATGCCCAGAGGCATGGATTAAATTTATTGACAAGCTCTTTGTGATACGGAAAGATATGTACATGCAGTAAGTAAAATGCATGGTGATTAAGTGTAAGATTACTTTGCATGAGGTTATTTATTTTATACAAAAGTGACACCTGCTGTCATTTGTTTTACAAGAAATTGAAAATCTACAAAAGTGACACCTGCTGTCATTTGTTTTACAAGAAATTGAAAATCTACAAATTTAAGAACCCACGAAAATGCCTGTTTTGATAAAACCATGAAATTTCTTGCCCACGAATATAAGTGAATTTCGCAGTAATATGTGTACATTTATGACATAATTTTATAATCATATTGATATTTGAACATACTGTTTTCAACACAATAAGGACTCATTTTGAATATTGTATTTGCGAACTTACATCACTATATGTTCACTTGCTATTTCAGCCTTTGAGCATTCTGTTTTCAGTACCTTAAATCCATTTTGAATTGTATAAAAAATTAAGGAAATTAATTAAATGAGAAATTATATTATAGAACTTCAGATATATTATGTTAACATAACTGTAATCCTGAACTATTCTGATTTATTTCTGAACAAAGAAATGTGTATTATTCCAAGCTGTACTTTTCATTTTTTTCACATTTTTGTTTTAAGAAATAAATATTGTTAAAAGTTCAGTTGTAGTGATATTGTAAAGTCAATGTGCGGTTATTTATTGCAGCTTTTGGTACAGCTATAGATCTTATGTTACCTAGCCACACAGGTAGTGTTTCACCAACAACATCAATTATCCGTCTAAAAAGAGCACTAAGTCTCAGGTAAATATATTTTTACATTATATGTTGTACTTGTATTATTTGAGTGTCAAGACTTTGATTTTACAGTGATTTCCCACCAAATTCAGGCTGTTCCACCTAGCCCAAAATATGATATTTTCCAAAAAAAAAAAAAGACTGACTACATGAATATTGCCCTATGAATCATTTAAAAGATATACTGTGCTCATCTTTGAGTAAAATATGTTTATTGCAGATATTTATTGAAATCTATAAAATTCTTACCTTGTATGTCTTATTATGCCCCCATTTCCATTTCAAAGAAAAGGGGGTATATTGCTTTGCACTTGTCGGTCCATCGGTCCGTAGACCAAATGGTTTCCGAGTGATAACTAAAGAACCCTTAGGCCTAGGAACTTCAAACTTAGTATGGTGATTGGTCATGACCAGTAGATGACCCCTATTGATTTTGGGGTCAAGGGGTCAAAGGTCAAGGTCACATTGACCTTGTAAGTTGTAAGCAAAAACGGTTTCCGATCAATAACTAAAGAACCTTTAGGTCTAGGAACTTCAAACTTGGTATGGTGATTGGTCATAAACAGTAGATGACCCCTATTGATTTGGGATCAAGGGGTCAAAGGTCAAGGTCGCATTGACCTTGTAAACAAAAACGGTTTCCGATCAATAACTAAAGAACCTTAAGGCCTAGGAACTTCAAACTTGGTATGGTGATTGGTCATGATCAGTAGATGATCCCTATTGATTTTGGGGTCAAGGGGTCAAAGGATAAGGTCACATTGACCTTGTAAGCAAAAACGTGTTCCCATCAATAACTAAAGAACTTTAGGCCTAGAAACTTCAAACTTGGTATGGTGATTGGTCATGATCAGTAGATGACCCCTATTGATTTTGGGGTCAAGAGGTCAAAGGTCAAGGTCATATTGACCTTGTAAGCAATAACGGTTTCCGATCAATAACTAAAGAACTTTAAGGCCTAGGAACTTCAAACTTGGTATGGTGATTGGTCATGATCAGTAGATGACCCCTATTGATTTTGGGGTCAAGGGGTCAAAGGTCAAGGTCACATTGACCTCTTGGTTAAAAACGGTTTCTGATCAATAACAAAAGAACCCTTAGGCCTAGGAACTTCAAACTTGCTATGGTGATTGGTCATGACCAGCAGATGACCCCTATTGATTTTGGGGTTAAGGGGTCAAAGGTCAAGGTCACATTTACCTTGTAGGTAGAAACGATTTCCGATCAATAACTAAAGAACCCTTAGGCCTAGGAAATTCAAAACTTGGTATGGTGATTGGTCATGACCAGCAGATGACCCCTATTGATTTTGGGGTTAAGGGGTCAAAGGTCAAGGTCACATTGACTTTGTAGGTAAAAACGGTTTCCGATCAATAACGAAAGAACCCTAAGGCCTAAGGACTTCAAACTTAATATGGTGATTGGTCATGATCAGTAGATGACCCCTATTGAATTTGGGGTCAAGGGGTCAAAGGTCAAGGTCACATTGACCTCTTAGGTAAAAACGGTTTCCGATGAATTACTAAAGAACCTTAGGCCTAGGAACTTCAAACTTGGTATGGTGATTGGTCATGACCAGTAGATGACCCTATTGATATTGGGGTTAAGGGTCAAAGGGCAAGGTCACATTGACCTTGTAGGTAAAAATGCTTTCAAATCAATAACTTAAGAACCCTTTGGCCTAGGAACTTCAAACATGGTATGGTGATTGGTCATGACCAGCAGATGACCTATTGATTTTGGGGTCAAGGGGTCAAAGGTCAAGGTCACATTGAGGTTGTATGTTAAAACAGTTTCCGATCAATTAACTAAAAACGCTTAGGCCTAGGAACTTCAAACTTTGTATGATGATTGGTCGTGACCAGCAGATGACCCGTTTTGAGTTTTGGGTCAAGGGGTCAAAGGTTAAGGTCATGACCAGTAGATACTTGATAACCCTTATTAATTGTTTGATCACTGGGTCAGAAGTCATGCATAATAACCTTATCACATGACTAATTGGCTGCTGATAGGGGGCATACATGTTTTACAAACATATCTTGTTTAAATAAAAGAACGTAAAACTTTACAGGTATATGTACAAAAGGACTGTGTAGCCATTGTCAATATTTTCAAATATCACATTTGAGCATAGTATATCTTGTACTTTTGGTTTAGAAAGTTGGACCTCAAAGTCAAATTAAAAACAAAAAAATGTCTCGGACAGTTTGTCCACACAACAAATCTGTACCAGTGGAATTTCAAATAACCTGGCACAAATGTTCAACATCATGAGATAGAGTGTTGCACACAAAAACCATTTGACTAGGTCAAAGCTCAAGGTCAGATGTGACACCTTGCCTATTCACGGTAGTTGGGCAACTTGAGCATCTAGTTTGATTTGAGTCATTTAAGTATGTTTTGAAAATCGAGTATGAAATGAAAAACTTCATCAAATGTATTCTTATTTGATACACATGTTTATGAAATAAAGTATTAGTATCAGAATATTAGGAAATATTGGTACTTGATATCATTTAAAATGTTTAAACTGCTGGGAAAGTATAGAATATTCTGTACAATTATTTAAAATTTGAGTATGTTAGAAAGAATCTGAATTAAGAAAAATATCTGCAATTTGTTTTGATACCTACCATTAAATGAACTATTTTAAATTTTTCCAGGTATAAAACTCTTGTTGATATCCTGTTTGAAAAAACTTTGCCATATGTGATGTGGGCTCGGGGGAAAATTGCCATAGCAACGGATATGTTTAGAAACTTGGTAGAAAATGAAACTGAAAGTAAGCTTTAGGCATTTATATTCAGCATGTTCTGCTAAAGTATTAAAGGGTCTCCACTGAGGATTTTTGACACAAGGGGAATGGAAATATTTTTCGAGATTATCACAAATTTAGTGGGTCATTATAACCAAAACACTTAAGTGCAAAGCAGTCAAGTTGCCTTTTTAAAAAACAAGACAAGTATATATTTTCTGTTTCAAGGGCCCCATTATCTAGTGAAAAATTTAAAAATTTTTAATTTTTTTAGTCTTTATTAATTTCGGGGGGGTTTCCCTTTAAAAGAAACATTTTAAAAAATTTTGTTTTTCCCCTTTTTTTGAAAATCATGTTTTGCACGTTTCTGAATATCTATAAAAAATAACCCAATTTTAAACATCAAACACAAACATCAAACACTACTTTATTTCTGTTTTTGAAATTTGAAACATCAAATCATGCACAATAATCAATTTTATTACTGAGCAAGTAAAAAAGTTAGGAGAACATCTGTTTGATATTTTATTGTTGTTTTTATCACCACATATCTAGCCGACACAAAAGCCATGTATTTAAGTGAGATAGCAAGAATGCATGCTATTTTTGGTGACACAAAGACAGCTGAACAGTTTTATAGAGTTGCCACGGAGACAGCCTTGGAAGATTATAATGAATATAGAAGGGATAGATGTATAAATGAGGCAACAGAACAAAAACAAGTACTACTTGCTAGTATCTATGATATAGGGTAAGTAATATTTGAGTGTATAACAAAATGAATCTTAGTGGGACACCACTAAGGGGTTTTTTTTTACATGAGGCCATCCTTAAAAAAATGTTTGTTTGCAGTAACCCGACCCAGAATTTTCAAGGTGGGTAGGTAGGTTGATTTTTCTTTTTTTTTTCCTTTTTTTTTTATTGAACTGTACTCCCAAATAAACATGGAATTTCAAAATGCTGGACAGTACATGCTTTGAAAATCTGGTAACAATTGATAAATTGATAACTGAATTCTTATTTAATAAGAACTACATTTTATTTCTTTGATTAACCTTTAAAAGAATGAAAACAAAGCACAAGGCATAATTTTTCTGATTTAAAAAAAAAAAATTATTCAGACCATGAATAAAAAAATTTGAGTAGGGGCAAATTTTGTGAGTCGGTCGCGTTAATGCAAACAAACATTTTTTTAAGGATGGCCTGAAGGGACTGGAAGTATTTGGTGTTGTTTTTTCAATTTTATACCATTTGACATAGGTCTATATCAATAACATGTGTGCCAAATTTCAGATTATTAGCTTACTCCATTTTTTCCAGAATAATTATTTTTATTGTTCAAAAATTTTAAATGACACAAAAAGGAAAGCAATAAAACTCTTTTGATTGAAATTAGGGCTAAGAATTACATTAAATGTTGAGTAATTATATAAAATAATTTTTTGTGCCCCCACGTTAGTGGCGGGCATTTAGATTTACCCTTGTCCGTCCGTTCACTTTTGTGTCGCACGTAACTCAAAAAGTATTTGCCCTAGAGTCATGAAACTTCACAGGAATGTTGATCAGCATGTGTTGTTGTGCACCTGGGTATTTTCATGTGGATATATTTAGTATTTTCAGAGTTATTGCCCTTGACTTAGTAAAATTTTGCAATTTTCAACTTGTGCCGCATGTAACTCAAAAAGTATTTGACCTAGAGTCATGAAACTTTACAGGAATGTTGATCAGCATGTGTTGTTATGCACCTGGGTATTTTCGAGTGGATATTTTTAGTATTTTCAGAGTTATTGCCCTTGACTTAGTAAAATTTTGCAATTTTCAACTTGTGTCGCATGTAACTCAAAAAGTATTTGACCTACAGTCATGAAACCTTACAGGAATGTTGAACAGCATGTGTAGTTGTGCACCTGGGTATTTTCGTGTGGATATTTTTAGTATTTTCAGAGTAATTGCCCTTGACTTAGTAAAATTTGCAATTTTTAACTTGTGTCACACGTAACTCAAAAAGAATTTCACCTAGAGTCATGAAACTTTACAGGAATGTTGATCAGCATGTGTAGTTGTGCACCTGGGTATTTTCGTGTGAATACTTTTTAGTATTTTCAGAGTTATTGCCCTTGACTTAGTAAAATTTTGCAATTTTCAACATGTGTCGCACATTACTCAAAAAGTATTTGACCTAGAGTCATGTAACTTTACAGGATTATTGATCAGCATGTGCAGCTGTGCACCAGGTATTTTTGTCTGGATTTATTTGAATTTTTAGAGTTATTGGCCCTTCACTTAGAAAATTTTTGCAATTTTCAACTTGTGTCGCAAGTTACTCAAAAAGGATTTGACATGGTCATTAAACCTTATGGGCAGATTGCTCAGCATATTTAGATTTGCACCTGGAGTTTTGCTTGTGGATTTATCCAGTATTTGTAGAGTTATTTCCCTTGACTTAGTAAAAAGATTGACAGAACAGTGGCGCGGTGGGGGCACCGTGTCCTATGGACACATTTCTAGTTTATTATGGTTTTCATACTTTCTGTTTTGCACTTCTGTGCAGTCTGCCTTGACTATACAGTTTGTAGTCCAGTTAATAGTAATCCTTTCACTTTTAATTGACTGTTCCAAATTCTAGGAGGACAAATCTATAACATTTATTCAGCAATAATATTATAAAAATCTACATAAAGTTTGTTTGTTATTTTGATCTTATACCTGTGATTAACTTGTATATTTAGAGTATTAGATGAAGAGAAGGCTGTGCAATCATTACAGTTTTGGACTGGAGTGAAAAGTATACGAACTGTGAGAACTGCAACATTAATTGCAGGTCTAGATGCTCTTCTATGTTACCATTTGTCACATTTGCCAGGTATTTGCCCTATTTTATTGTTATATTGCCTAATATAATTACATAGTGACAATGTATATTGAAAGTAATTGGTTTAATTACCAGTAAAATCATATCAAGAAATGTTGTATTTTTAGCTCAACTGTCACAAAGTGACATGGTAAGCTTTTGTGATTGCTTTTCGTCTGGCGTCCGTAACATTTTCTCCTCATAAACCCCTAAGCCAATTTCATCCAAACTTCACAGTAATGTTCCTTTGGTGGTCACCTTTAAAGATGGTTCAAAGAATTTAACTCCATGCAAAACTCTGGTTGCTATGGCAACCGAAAGAAAAACTTTAAATATGTTCTTTAAAAAATCCAAAGAGCAAGAGCTTAGATATTTGGCATATAACATCTACTAGTGAGTATCTACCAAGGTTGTTCAAATAAAAGCCCTGGGGACAAAATTGGTCCAGCCCCAGGTGGTCATTGAATTTCCTTATTTGTATACAGTAAAAACAAAAAGAGCTAGAGCTTAGATATCAAGCATGAAACATCTTCTAGTGAGTGTTTACCAATTTGAAAAAAAAATAGCCCTTGGGTCAAAATTGGCTCAACCCAAGGGGTCATTGATTTTCCTTATATGCATGTAGTAAAAAAGTTTAAAAAATCTTCCGACAAAAAAGTATTCTGACACAGATGAGCGATTTAGGGCCATCATGGCCCTCTTGTTTATACTTCACATGAATTTACTTTTTACAAATATATGTAACAATTCATGATATTACCCAGTGTTATTTCATTTCTACCCAAGCAAGAGTCTTTCAATAGTGAGACACAGTTAAAATACCTTTTGTGGGTTTAAATTTTTTAGATTTTATGGAAAATTGTAGGTTACCATCAAATTAACACTTATAAGTATAGTTATTTATTCAACTGAAAATTTCTGATTTGGATTGAAGACAAGTCTTTGTAGTTATGAACACAATTAGATGTGGAAAAGAGATGTAATACAGTGTGCATACTCTCTTAGCTTCTGTTACTGTCTAGTTACAGGTTCAAAGCTCTATGATGAGGCAATTGGTAAACTAGAGAAAGTGACAAAGGAGTGCCCTTATGCATATTACTACCAGTCTATGCTTCATGCACTTCATGGTACTTCAGATATCTCAACAAAACTCTACAGGGAGAGTAGGTCATGGTAGGTTTGGTATATTTGATTTATAATGTAGTCTAAAATATAAAATTGGGTTAATACTTGGACAAAAGAACACATGACAATATTGACATATTGAATTTTTTTTTTATATGACCTCCACCTTTCATTGGCCTTTACCTTCAAGGTAAAATCATTGAAATTTGCTCATATGACCACAACTTTGTTATCTATTTACAGATTTGATTTATACCAAGACAAAAGGATACATTTGAGAAAACCGACATGTTCAGTTATTTTAAAATGACCTTTATCTTAACTGGCCTTTAATGAAGGTCAAATTAATGAAATTTATTTATATTGTGATAAACTTGGTTACTTTTTATACGCCCGTTTGAAAAACGGAACTTATTATGGGAACGCCCCTGGCGGGCGGGCGGTCGGGCGTATGGGCGGGCGGGCGGCGTCCAATTTTGTCCGGAGCATATCTCCTACATGTATGGAGGGATTTTAATGAAACTTCATAGAAATGTTCACCACTATGGGGAGCAGTGTTGCGCACATGAACCAGGTCTCTAGGTCAAAGGTCAAGGTCACACTTAGAGCTCATTGAAAAATGCTTGTCCGGAGCAAAACTTCCACATGTATAGAGGGATTTCAATGTTGCTTGGCACAAATGTTCACCATTGTGAGGCGGAGTGTCGCGCGCAAGATTCAGGTCCTTGCGGCCAAGGTCAAGGTCACCCATAGAGGTCAAAGTTCAGATAAAAATATGAAAATGTGTATATGGACCATTTAGTCATCATTTTTGAGGGATTGTAACACAAATGGTCATTATCAAGACTATAGCTGTGATACATATAATTTAGGTCAATATATACAAGGTCAAGGTCACTAAAGATGATGAAATATCCAGATTTTGTAAATAGAATTTAATCAAAGGGCGACAACAAAGTTATTACTTTGTTCATAAATGACTTACACAATTACTCCCCTTGATCTACTTTCACTTTCAATTCTAAAAATGGAATTTAATCAAAGGGCATAAAATAATCCTCTTTCATGGACTTTAGCATGTTCTAAAGAATGTAACATTTATTTACACATGTTTCATTCATTGGTCAAGATTCTTAACTGTGATAACTATGGTGTTCTGTAGACTTGGTATTTGTTCATAAAGATCATACAGTAATTACCTTATCAAATGTAAATACTTTCTCATAGAAATTTAATTATATTTTAATTTTCAAGTAAATATCAGTTCAGCTCTCCTACATATATGGAGGGAATGGAGGGATTTTCATGAAACTTCATAGAAATGTTCACCACTATGAGGAGCAGTGTCGCGCACATGAACCAGGTCTCTAGGTCAAGGTCACACTTGGAGCTCATTGAAAAATGCTTGTCCGGAGCAAAACTTTCACATGTATAGAGGGATTTCAATATTACTTGGCACAAATGTTCACCATTGTGAGGCGGAGTGTCACGCGCAAGATTCAGGTCCTTGCGGCCAAGGTCAAGGTCACACATAGAGGTCAAAGTTTAGATAAAAATATGAAGATGTGTATAGGGACAATAAATCATCATTTATTGAGGGATTGTAACACAAATGGTCATTATCATGACTACGGCTGTGACACATGTACTTTAGGTCAATATATGCAAGGTCAAGGTCACTAAAGATGATGAAATATCCAGATTTTGTCTGGAGCATATCTCCTACATGTATGGAAGAATTTTTATAATACTTTATGGAAATGTTCACCACCATGATATGTATTGCTCCATGCATGATCCAGGTCTCCAGGTCAAAGGTCAAGGTCACACTTAGAGCTCATTGAAAAACACTTGTCCGGAGCAAAACTTCTACATTCATAGGGGATTTCAATATAACTTGGCACAAATGTTCACCATTGTGAGGCTGAGTGTCGCACGCTTAATTCAGATCCCTGCGACCCAAAGTCAATGTTACACATAGAGGTCAAAGTTCAGATAAAAAATTTGAAAATGTGTATAGGGACCATTTAGTCATCATTTATTGATGGATTGTAGTACAAATGGTAACTATCATGACTACAGGTGTGACACATTTAATTTAGGTTAATATTTGCAAGGTCAAGGTCACTGGAGATGATTAAATATCCAGATGTTGTCCGGAGCATATTTTCTACATGCATGGAGGAATTTTAATGTTACTTTATAGAATTGTTCACCACCATGACACTTAGTGCCCTGCACATGAACCAAGTCTCTAGGTCAAAGGTGAAGGTCACAGTTAGAGCTCATAGAAAACACTTGTCTGGAGCAAAACTTCTACATGCATAGAGGATTTCAATATAATTTGGCACAAAATGTTCATCATTGTGAGGCTGAGTGCCGTGCATAAAATTCAGGTCCCTGCGACCAAGGTCAAGGTCACACATCCTGTGCATATCTTCCTACTGATTTGTTTTAAGGTTCATTTAACAACACAGTGCCAAGAATAAAAACTTGCTTGCTAGATAACACTAATCCATAATGCCCCCATCTCCATCTAAAGCTTTCGTAAACGGGCGTATTTTGTGACTATGGCACCCTTGTTTATGGAATGTATTCATTGTTGGACAAAAGGAAACTTATGATCAACTAACATGATGATTGATTCAAATGTGACCTTGACATTTGAATGACCAAGACTTTCAAGGTCAAATATGAAAATTATTATATTTTGCTTAAGACAGTTATGCTTTCTTGGAGTATTCTTTACTACAATATTCTTCCTCCAATGTTGTTGATTTATGAAATTAGAAAAAGTTGAGTGTGACCCCCTCCCCCCCACCACTTGTCTATATATGTCTTTTATGTCTATACATACATGTATAAATATATGTGTTTTATTGTTTCAGCTGCTCAATGACACCAGGGTCAGTAGTTTTATCATACTTAGGACAAAGGGCTAGAAATCCCTGGCAACCATTAATTGACCGTATTAATACACAAAAGTTAGATGTCAAGCCACTATCAGTCATTTGGAGAACTAATTTGCAACCACCAAGAATAACAAAACATGGGTAATGAACTCTATTGGCATGCAAGTAGTTCCCATACAAAAGCATAACCCATATTTTCTGTATGAACACTTAATTACTTTCATCCATTGATCATTTCCATCTGATAACACAGATGTGTGAACTGGACAAGAACAAAGTCTAAATGTTAATTCGACTGTCAGTTAACCAAAAATTAATTTAAAATCACTTTGATATGTGTGTTGTCAAAATATGACCTTGTAAACATTAGGACTTTGGCATATGAGCAGAAATACTGCAATATGAAGCCCATATAAAGGTTCATAAATACCACTTTAAGACAGATAAACAGACAATGTTATAAATTTTTTTTTTGATGAACAGTATTTTGTGTTATATAATCCAGTTAAACATAAATCAGTTTGATTATTAAAAATATTTGAAATAACTAGCAAACAAGCATATCACTGCTTGTAAATGTTTTGTGTGAATGATACTGTGTAATTTTACCAAAGTTTAGTATACACTGTATATTCTAAAAAAGACCTATCTAGGAATCTTCGGGTACAAGTGTGTTATCAACAATTTTTAAGTGAAACAGAGTTCTGATATATTGATATTGTAAAAGTCTGTTGGGTTATAATTTGTGTATGGGAACTGCTTCTCTTTGTAAAAAGTAATGAGTAATTTTGGTCCCATAACTAAAGATATTTTATATTAAGAACACAGACTTTTCAAAATTGTGTGCAACATGCAGAATATTGGTTTTTGTAACAATCATTTTCAGTGAGTGAGCTTATTAACATTTTTTTAAAAATATATCTAATTTTTGTACAGAAAGTATTTTTATGCCAGTAAAGTGGTTGTCTTTACTTACAAATTTCTAAATGATGTATATCCTCATACCTTAACTTTAACCTCACTTTATCATCAAATGCTTAACCCTTTACCTCATACATACACGAAACAACGCACTTTCGACCCCCCCCCCCCTTTTTTTTTAGGCCTGAAATAGTGAAAAAATGTCCTATTTGGGCCCCAAACACAGGTTTTCGTTTGAGAAATGTTGCTAAAAAAGTGAGCACTTTTTCGGCGCCGTCCCCCATCCAAAAGATACACCAGGGGGTTGCCAGAAGGGGGATGTGCCACCTTCTGTTTGGGGGGTTTGAAGGGGGGCGGAGTCCCCATCATCGCCAAGAAAATTTTGGCTTAAAATGACCCCAGGTAGATCATAAGGTAACGTGTAACCAACGCTTAAAAGCCTTTGACTCTATCTCAATCCCTTGAGAAGTTGCAGCACTTTGAAATAAATTTTGATGGAAAAAATCGAGGCAAAATAGTGATTTTTAGCAATTTTGAGATGTCCCCTCGTTGCCATGGTAACAGGAAATTTAAGACTGAGCATGTCGTTACAAAGGCAATGGTCCAGTCAACATTTGTGCCAAGTTTGATTAGTATTGAAGCATTTTTCATAGTTTCATAGCAGTTTGAACTTGTAAGAGGAGGCTTTTCAGTGAAAATGGCCATTTTTCACAATATGCTCATGGGGGAAAGGGTTAAAGGTAAAATATTTCTCATCATAAAATTAATCCATATTTATTGAAACTTATTGAGAAAAAAAAAATGTTCCATTTCAAGTTTTGTAAATCTCTGCTGATGCCGTTTAGCCTCTGAATGATCTGCAAATACCAAGGGAAAGAAGAAAATTCATTTTGTAAAATGTATACTTGTTAAAAAGCTTATAAAATTTAAAGCTTATAAAATTTATTTTAGACCAATGGAAGGACAAGTGTGTAGTGAGAAGCTGAATTTACGCCTGAATGATGCTGGCCATGTGACTGGAGACATGCAAATGATGATGCCACCTTTAAGAGACATCTCTTTAGATCCATACACCGGGTATGCTTGTTTATAGATTATACTATCCACCACTGATCTTAACATTTGATTATATGCCTCTACTGTTTTGAATTTTATTTAATAAGCTGACATACAAATTATGGGTTGTAATGAAAAATATAAATGATATGAGCAACAAACATTTTTAAAGTTGCATGCAGGCTATCAAAATGGCATAGGTATTTAGATCAATTAAGGTGAGTCATTATTTAGTAGGGATTTTGTATGTTTAAGAGTTTGGCATTAGACTTACATATACTGGTATAAGAGTCATTCAGCATTTGCTTGTGCTGTGAAGTCATTAACAACTGACCCTTAGTCTACTGGTGGCACCTAACTTTACCCTTACAAACAGTGCTGACGAAGATTACCTGCCACAGATATGTGGCACAGAAATTGGAATATTTGTATAGGGGCATGGCAATAAAGATTAGAAAAAAAATGAGAACTTATAAAATGCAAGATACCAAACAAAAAGGTAAAGTCGACAGAGAAAGTGATTTGAATTGAAATACAAAACATGCTATAATGCTTAGAGACTGCAACATACAATATGGAAAAAACAGGTTTTGCATAACTTAAAAGAATTGAGTTAAAGATATATATGTAGCCTAAGAATTTATTAAATTTATATTTATTATCTGACTGTTGTATTCACAGGTATCTGGTGATGGACAATCAACCATCCCAGACTGGAATGTGGACATCAGCTTGGTTAAATTCTTATAATCACTGTTGTAAGTTATGTTGCTAATTTATTATGCAGAATGTTGCTAGGTTATCATACAATGTGTTGCTAGGTTATCATACAATGTGTTGCTAGATTATCATACAATTTATTACTAGGTTATCATACAGTGTTTTGCTAGATTATCATACAATGTGTTGCTAGATTATCATACAATGTATTGCTAGGTTATCATACAGTGTTTTGCTGGGTTATCATACAGTGTTTTGCTAGATTATCATAAAATGTGTTGCTAGGTTATCATAAAATGTGTTGCTAGATTATCATACATTGTATTACTAGGTTATCTAGATAATCATTCAGTGTTTGTTAGATTATCATACAATGTGTTGCTAGGTTATTAACCAGGTTTTCAATTTTGAAAATCCTGGTTATTAGATTGGGGTATGGCGGGCGGATGGGCGGATGGGCGGATGGGCGGCTGGGCGGATGGGCGGATGGGCGGGCGTCAAACGAAATTGTGTCCGCTCTGTAACTCTTCAACCCTTTGAAGAATTTTGATGAAACTTCAGACAAATGTTTACCACATCAAGATGACGTGCAGAACGCATGTTCCGCATGGCTGGCTCCAAGGTCAAGGTCACAGTGACATTAACATTGAAAATCCTGTCCGCTCTGTAACTCTTCAACCCTTTGAAGAATTTTGATGAAACTTCAGACAAATGTTTACCACATCAAGATGACGTGCAGAACGCATGTTTCCGCATGGCTGGCTCCAAGGTCAAGGTCACAGTGACATTAACATTGAAAATCCTGTCCGCTCTGTAACTCTTCAACCCTTTGAAGAATTTTGATGAAACTTCAGACAAATGTTTACCACATCAAGATGACGTGCAGAACGCATGTTCCGCATGGCTGGCTCCAAGGTCAAGGTCACAGTGACATTAACATTGAAAATCCTGTCCGCTCTGTAACTCTTCAACCCTTTGAAGAATTTTGATGAAACTTCAGACAAATGTTTACCACATCAAGATGACGTGCAGAACGCATGTTCCGCATGGCTGGCTCCAAAGGTCAAGGTCACAGTGACATTAACATTGAAAATCCTGTTTACATGATTTTAACTTGATTTGGCAGTCAAAGGTCATATCATCTTTGGAGGTAATTTAAAAAAGATATGATATATTATTTCATGTCTACTTTGTTACTTGTTTTTCATTATACAGAATTATCAATATAATTATAGTGAACAAATTCTTCTGTGCTGAACTCGTCCTACATTTCTCAACGGATTTTGTTCAAACTTTCACAGAAGCTTTGTCATCAAGCACCCTGGCACATATTGTCGGGGATTTGTGATTGGATAGTTTTTGACCTAATTATGGCCCTTTGTTTTTTTCCTTATACATAATATTATAGTGAACACTTCTTCAGTGGCAATTCCTCCTACATTATTCATGTTTTACATTGCACATAGTTACATTGTTTGTTGCTTGTATTTGTATTTCAAATACAACATATTTATCTACAATGGTGATAATTGAAAACCTGGTTTCATGGCATTGCCATGTTTCTTGTCATACAATGTGTTGCTAGATTATCATACAATGTATTGCTGGGTTATCATACAGTGTTTTGCTAGATTATCATACAATGTGTTGCTAGATGATCATACATTGTATTACTAGGTTATCATACAATGTATTGCTGGGTTATCATACAGTGTTTTGCTAGATTATCATACAATGTGTTGCTAGATTATCATACAATGTATTGCTGGGTTATCATACAGTGTTTTGCTGGGTTATCATACACTGTTTTGCTAGATTATCATAAAATGTGTTGCTAGATTATCATAAAATGTGTTGCTAGATTATCATACAATGTATTGCTGGGTTATCATACAGTGTTTTGCTAGATTATCATAAAATGTGTTGCTAGATAATCATACATTGTATTACAAGGTTATCATACAGTGTTTTGCTAGATTATCATACAACGCGTTGCTAGGTTATCATACAGTGTTTTGCTAGATTATCATACAACGCGTTGCTAGGTTATCATACAGTGTTTTGCTAGATTATCATACAATGTGTTGCTAGATTATCATACAATGTATTTCTAGGTTATCATACAGTGTTTTGCTAGATTATCATACAGTGTTTTGCTAGATTATCATACAATGCGTTGCTAGATGATCATACAATGTGTTGCTAGGTTTTCATACAATGTATTTCTAGGTTATCATACAGTGTTTTGCTAGATTATCATACAGTGTTTTGCTAGATTATGATACAATGTGTTGCTAGATTATCATACAATGTATTTCTAGGTTATCATAAAATGTTTTGCTAGATTATCATACAGTGTTTTGCTAGATTATCATAAAATGTTTTGCTAGGTTATCATACAATGTATTGCTGGGTTATCATACAGTGTTTTGCTAGGTTATCATACAGTGTTTTGCTAGATTATCATACAACGCGTTGCTAGGTTATCATACAGTGTTTTGCTAGATTATCATAAAATGTTTTGCTAGGTTATCATACAATGTATTGCTGGGTTATCATACAGTGTTTTGCTAGGTTATCATACAGTGTTTTGCTAGATTATCATACAACGCGTTGCTAGGTTTTCATACAATGTATTTCTAGGTTATCATACAGTGTTTTGCTAGATTATCATACAGTGTTTTGCTAGATTATCATACAATGTGTTGCTAGATTATCATACAATGTATTTCTAGGTTATCATAAAATGTTTTGCTAGATTATCATACAGTGTTTTGCTAGATTATCATAAAATGTTTTGCTAGGTTATCATACAATGTATTGCTGGGTTATCATACAGTGTTTTGCTAGGTTATCATACAGTGTTTTGCTAGATTATCATACAACGCGTTGCTAGGTTATCATACAGTGTTTTGCTAGATTATCATAAAATGTTTTGCTAGGTTATCATACAATGTATTGCTGGGTTATCATACAGTGTTTTGCTAGGTTATCATACAGTGTTTTGCTAGATTATCATACAACGCGTTGCTAGGTTATCATACAGTGTTTTGCTAGATTATCATAAAATGTGTTGCTAGATTATCATTCAATGTGTTGCTAGGTTAGCATACAATGTTTTGCTACATTATCATACTGTGTTTTGCTACATTATCATACAATATGTTGCTAGATTATCATACAATGTATTGCTAGTTTATCATACTGTGTTTTGCTAGATTATCATACTGGATGGTCCTGGTGAATGTTGTTGCTATGTAATAGAAAGAGCATCGAAACACGAGGCTATCTGATTTGTACGAGGGGGCGTAGCCCCAGAGTATTTATCAGATTGCAGAGTGTTTTGATGTTCTTTCTCTTTTGTATCTTAGTCAAACATAAAGACACGTTCCCTGTTGTAACAATATGAAACCCCGGAAAAAAAGTAACATATGAACGAACATCTGAATGTGATATATCTGTCGCTTTCCTCTTCTCTGCCGTCACAATAAGTAAACCCCAGCAAAAATGAGCCAATCAATGGCCATGCTCTGCAATATGGGAAACTTATACTCCAGTTAACGCACTGTGCATGTATATGGAAACACTGCGCATGTATATGAATACGATTTAACTGTGACACATTTTCAACAGAAAGGTCCCCAAACTATGATACAAGTAATAGAAAGAGTATTGAAACACGAGGCTATCTTATTTGTACGAGGGGGCGTAGCCCCAGAGTATTAATCAGATTGCCGAGTGTTTTGATGTTCTTTCTCTTATGTATCATAGTCAAACATAAAAACACGTTCCCTGTTGTAACAATATGAAACACCGGAAAAAAGTTACATATGAACAAGCATCTGAATGTGATATATCTGTCGCTTTCATTTTCTCTGCCGTCACAATATGTAAACCCCAGCAAAAATGAGCCAATCAATGGCCATGCTCTGGAGTGCGGGTAACTTATACCTGCACTCCAGTTAACGCACTTATTATGCATGTATATGTATTCAATTTAACTCTGACGCATTTTCAACAGAAAAGTCCCCAAACTATGATACAAGTTATTATACAGTGTGTTGTTAATTTATCATACCCTATGTTGCTAGGTTATCATACAGTGTATTATGCTAGGTTATCATGTTCGAAGGTTTTGATACAGTATGTTGCTAGATTGAGTTGCTAGGCAACAATACATTACTCATGTCAAGATTAGTTAAAGATTTAAGTTATTTAACCAACAAATACCTTAGAAAACAATTGAGCCGCGTCACGACAAAACCAACGTAATGCGTTTGCGACCAGCATGGATCCAGACCAGCCTGCGCATCCGCACAGTCTGATCAGGATCCATGCTGTTCGCTTACAAACCCTATAACAAGTAGAGAGACTGATAGCGAACAGTATGGATCCTGATCAGCGCATCCAGGCTGGTCTGGATCCATGCTGGTTGAAACGCATAACGTTGGTTTTTGTCGTGACGCTGCTCAATTATGCTCTGCTCTCATACCATGTTATGCTATCAGAATTTTGTCATGTCATTTTTACAAAATAACAAACAAATGTCAACTATTGAAATCATGTAGTTGTCCAACTTGATGGCTATTTTTGAAAATAAATAAACCTTATAACTAAAAATAGAAATTGCTGATAAACTGTATATATTTTAGGAAATGATTCCAAAAGGAAAGATTATAATTATCTTGTACATCCAAGTTTGACCATTAAATGTAGGTGATTAAAATGTGCCTATTTTGTCAAAAATAGTTTTTGGACAATTTTATTAATTTTCCATCAATAAAGCTGTATATATAAGATCAATTAGCACGAAAAAAACACAACGGCTGCTGTGGTGTAGTGGTTAGCATACTGGACCAGCAATATAGAGACCCGTGGTTTAGTCTTGGCTGCTGAATACTGATTTTTCGTGTGATTTTTCTGTGTATTATTTCCTGCTGATGGCTTTCTTTCATATACATGTATATATATTGAATGTTTACAGGTGACCTACTTATACCGACATACAGGTTGATATATTCAGACAATGATGGTACTACTGTACATATGCTTAAACTCTGCAATACTCAAACTAGTCTTAGGAACCCTTACAGCAATAGAGCAAATGGTCCACCTTGTTCTTTCATCCTTCATTGGACAAGTCCAGATGGTCAAGTGGCTAAACTCAACATGCACTCACTGCTAAAAAACAAAACTAAAGAGGTTTGTAAAATGTTATAGATAATATTTCTGATTTTTTTTCTAAATATACTTTCATATGAAATACTTACCCATGTATGAAAATGCATTTCTAAAGGGCAGGTAACCATATTATTTATTTTGCTCAATTTTACCCCCTTTTTCACTTTGAATTTCTTTGAGATAACCTTTGAGAAATGTTTATTTCTCAAAATCTAATAAAAACTTGTAGTGCTTGTTAATTATCAAATTTGAAAGGGGCAGATAATCAGGAAAGACATTTTTGCTTAATCATTTCACTTTTCTGATTGAGAATATTTTCCTTTCCCAAAAATGCATAAAAGGTATTAACTTCAGACTTGTCCTTTTTATGTTGCTTTTTATGCCACCACAATCTGCAATGCAGTTACATATACAATGTAGTAATTCACCTGCGTGTGTGTGTTTATGCATGCATATGTGCATTTGTGTGTCAGTGCATGTATTGGTGTGTGTGTGTGTGTTTTTGTGCCTGTTACATAGAATAGATAATGAACTTTAAAAAATCTCATAAAGGTCTAAAATCTGATACTCTTTTACCAAGTGTTAAAATCATGACACTGGGGCTGATATTGACCACATCCAAGGTGTGGATCAATTTGATGTGGAAATATGAATGATGAAATAAAACACTGCAGCATTGCTTGACAAATACCATTAGGGTTGAGATATTTGTTGTCAACATGTCCTGTTTCAATCATAGCTATCTAGCATAGCTTTCAAGGACGTCTCTCATTGAGTTGGTCTTCAGGTCACTTCTTGATCTTTGTGACTGAAACTGGATATGTTTAGGGTTTTCTTTTTTACTTTCTTCAAAGGACTGATATCATAATTTTATCACACACCCATGCCGATTTTGCGACTCCGTAAAAATGGATATATTTTGACATGACGTCATTAGCGTTATACAAACATAGTGTAAAGACGCGCTAAATGTTAGCGTTATACTATAGCGTTAATGAAAAATGACTCTTATTTCACTTTAAACAGTCTTTATTTTGGGTATGTGATAAATAGAATATTAAATTCGTGTAAGTTCATTACTGAATTTATTGCACTCGTTGAATAAAATAATATTATGCTCGCCAGAGGCTTGCATAATATAATTTTATTCAACTCGTGCAATAAATTCAGTATTGAACTTACACTCATTCAATATCCTCTATATCTTATGTATTTAGCCTGTAGGCACTTTTAATGAGTATCAAGTTGGCAGAGACTAAACCTTGAAGAGATTTTTCTACTTTTCAGCTTACAGTCTGTACTGCTTGACTGATATGTGAAAGGTTTAGCATGTATTTACATTGCAATGCATATGGACCTCCATCCTGGGGTTGGGGGAATTGATTTGATACCACTAGTTCAGGTCATGAAGACTTATGAGGTTTAAAGTAATTTTTCTATTTTGCCCTAGTTAGGCTTTCATTTTATTAAGAAGTTGCAGTCCTCACTGAAGTGAGCAATAATAATGACTATCATATTTTTCCTGTTATTGCAGAAAGTTAAGATGGAGATACAAGCTAAACGGAATACATACATAAATTCCACGGGTTTCAGCGAGTCTGTTTATATGAAGTGTTTTGAATTCCTGGATATTGCAGCAGAAAGAAACATTACAATAACTGAAACTGTAAAGTTACTTTTCATATTCTTTTGAAGTTTAAACATATTTGGCTAAGGAAGACTTTACTTACAACAATTTAAATCTGTTTTATGTAACTGTGTTGAATTGTTGTCATACATAGAAATATAGTTGTGACCCAAGTAGGACTGGAATTGTTTATGGATTTAGTAACAGACACCAGAATCATTTGTCTTTTGGTTTCACTTTATAGTTTTGTTGGCTGGAAAAAATGTTAATGGACTTTTGACATATTATAACTGAAATGCAGATGAACATTATTTTTGCACTATCATAAACAAATTTAAAAACAAATTCTCAATAATTACAAATTATTCTTTAAATTTTTGTTAACTTTTTCTCTCAAAGGTCTGTTGTTAGCTCACCTGAGCATGAAGTGGTCAAGGTGATGTATAGTGATGGGGCTATGTCCGGCGTTGTGCCTCGTGTGTCGTTCGTCATCAACAATTAGGTTGTTACTTTAGCAGTCAGAGTTTTGATTGGATCATCAGAACTTTGTCAGAATGTTTGTATTAATGGAATACAGGTCAAGTTATAAGATGGGTCATCTCAGGTCAAAAACTAGGTCACAGGAGCTAAGAATAGAAAAATCTTGTTAACACTCTAGTGGCTGCAGTTTTAATCCAAATTTCCTTGAAATTGGTCAGGAAGGTTGTTTTGATGATTTCTAGGTCATGTTCAAATATGGGTCATTTCCGGTCCAAAACTAGGTCACAGGAGCTAAAAAATAGAAAAATCTTGTTAACACTAGTGGCTGCAGTTTTGATCCAAATATTCTGGAAATTTGTGAGGAAGGTTGTTTTGATGATTTCTGTGTCAAGTTTTAAGATGAGTTGTCTGTGGTCAAAAACTAGGTCACAGGAGCTAAAAATAGAAAAAGCTTGTTAACACTCTAGTGGCTGTAGTTTTGATCCAAATTACCTGGAAATCGGTCAGGAAGTTTCTTTTGATGATTTCTAGGCCAAGTACATTTATGGGTCAGATTATTGCTCGGATGAGTTTGAACATGTGTCATCTCGCATGAAAAACTAGGTCACAGGAGCTAAAAATAGAAAAATCTTGTTAACACTCTTGTGACTGCAGTTTTGATCAAAATATTCTTGAAATTTGTGAGGAAGGTTGTTTTGATGATTTCTAGGGCTAGTTCGAATATGGGTCATTTCGGTCAAAAACTAGGTCATAGGAGCTGTAAATAGAAAAATCTTGTTAATAAAATATCCTGGAAATTGATAAGGAAGATTGTTTTGATGATTTTTAGGTCAAGTTTGATTATGGATCACCTGGGATCAAAAACTAGGTTACACTGCCCAAATATGGAAAAACCTTGTTAATACTCTTATGGTAACATTTTGACTCAATTCTCATCAAACTTGGTCAGGATGATTGTCTATTTAATTGCTTGGAGGAGTTGGAATATGGGTATCTCTGATACAGGAGCTAAAAATAGAAAATCTTCTGAACTCTCTAGTGGCTACTGTTGTTATCCAAATATCCTGGAAATTGGTCTGCAGGTTTATTTTGATGATTTCTAGGTCAAGTTTGAATATGGGTCACCTGGGGTCAAAAGCTAAGTCACACTGCCCAAATATGGAAAACCTAGAGGTCACATTTTGGACTCAATTGTCATCAAACTTGGTCAGGATGCTTGACTAAGACAGATGTTGTTGATGGGTCAGGGGAGCGCTTGTTAGCTCATCTGTCACAAAGTGACAGGGTGAGCTTTTGTGATTGCTTTTCGTCCGGCGTCCGTCCATCCGGCCGTCCGGCCGTCGTCCGGACTTTTACTTTAAATGACATCTCCTCATAAACCACTAAGCCAATTTCATCCAAACTTCACAGGAATGTTCCTTTGGTGGTCACCTTTGAAAATTGTTCAAAGAATTTAATTCCATGCAGAACCATGCCATGGCAACCGAAAGAAAAAACTTTAAATATCTTCTTTTAAAAAACCCAAAGAGCTAGAGCTTAGATATTTGGTATGAAACATCTTCTAGTGAGTGTCTACCAAATTTGTTCAAATAAAAGCCCTGGGGTCAAAATTGGCCCCGCCCCAGGGGGTCATTGATTTTCCCTATATGCATATAGTAAAAACTTAAAAAATCTTCTTTTAAAGAACCCAAAGAGCTAGAGCTAAGACATTTAGCATGAAACATCTTCTAATGGGTGTCTACCAAGTTTGTTCAAATAAAAGCCCTGGGGTCAAAATTGGCCCTGCCCCAGGGGGTCATTGATTTTCCCTATATGCATATAGTAAAAACTTAAAAAATCTTCTTTTAAAGAACTCAAAGAGCTAGAGCTAAGATATTTAGCATGAAACATGTTCTAATGGGTGTCTACCAAGTTTGTTCAAATAAAAGCCCTGGGGTCAAAATTGGCCCCGCCCCAGGGGTCATTGATTTTCCTTATATGTGTATATCAAAAACTTAAAAAATCTTCTTTGAAAAAACCCAAAAGCTAGGGTTTAGATATAAAGCATGAAACATCTTCTAGTGTGTGTCTACAAATTTTGTTCAAATAAAAGCCCTGTGGTCAAAATTGGCCCCGCCCCAGGGGGTCATTGATTTTCCCTATATGCATATAGTAAAAACTTAAAAAATCTTCTTTTAAAGAACTCAAAGAGCTAGAGCTAAGACATTTAGCATGAAACATCTTCTAATGAGTGTCTACCAAGTTTGTTCAAATAAAAGCCTTGGGGTCAAAATTGGCCCCGCCCCAGGGGGTCATTGATTTTCCCTATATGCATATAGTAAAAACTTAAAAAATCTTCTTTTAAAGAACTCAAAGAGCTAGAGCTAAGATATTTAGCATGAAACATGTTCTAATGGGTGTCTACCAAGTTTGTTCAAATAAAAGCCCTGGGGTCAAAATTGGCCCCGCCCCAGGGGTCATTGATTTTCCTTATATGTGTATATCAAAAACTTAAAAAATCTTCTTTGAAAAAACCCAAATAGCTAGGGTTTAGATATAAAGCATGAAACATCTTCTAGTGTGTGTCTACAAATTTTGTTCAAATAATAGCCCTGTGGTCAAAATTGGCCCCGCCCCAGGGGGTCATTGATTTTCCCTATATGCATATAGTAAAAACTTAAAAAAATCTTCTTTTAAAGAACCCAAAGAGCTAGAGCTAAGATATTTAGCATGAAACATCTTCTAATGGGTGTCTACCAAGTTTGTTCAAATAAAAGCCCTGGGGTCAAAATTGGCCCCGCACCAGGGGGTCATTGATTTTCCCTATATGCATATAGTAAAAACTTAAAAAATCTTCTTTTAAAGAACTCAAAGAGCTAGAGCTAAGATATTAAGCATAAACATGTTCTAATGGGTGTCTACCAAGTTTGTTCAAATAAAAGCCCTGGGGTCAAAATTGGCCCCGCCCCAGGGGTCATTGATTTTCCTTATATGTGTATATCAAAAACTTAAAAAATCTTCTTTGAAAAAACCCAAATAGCTAGGGTTTAGATATAAAGCATGAAACATCTTCTAGTGTGTGTCTACAAATTTTGTTCAAATAATAGCCCTGTGGTCAAAATTGGCCCCGCCCCAGGGGGTCATTGATTTTCCCTATATGCATATAGTAAAAACTTAAAAAATCTTCTTTTAAAGAACTCAAAGAGCTAGAGCTAAGACATTTAGCATGAAACATCTTCTAATGAGTGTCTACCAAGTTTGTTCAAATAAAAGCCTTGGGGTCAAAATTGGCCCCGCCCCAGGGGGTCATTGATTTTCCCTATATGCATATAGTAAAAACTTAAAAAATCTTCTTTTAAAGAACTCAAAGAGCTAGAGCTAAGATATTTAGCATGAAACATGTTCTAATGGGTGTCTACCAAGTTTGTTCAAATAAAAGCCCTGGGGTCAAAATTTGCCCCGCCCCAGGGGTCATTGATTTTCCTTATATGTGTATAGCAAAAACTTAAAATCTTCTTTGAAAAAACCCAAATAGCTAGAGTTTAGATATTAAGCATGAAACATGTTCTAGTAAGTGTCTACAAATTTTGTTCAAATAAAAGCCCTGGGGTCAAAATTGGCCCCGCCCCAGGGGTGTCATTGTATTTAACTATATGTGTATAGTAAAACCTTAAAAAAATCTTCTTTAAAAAACCCAATGAGCTAGAGCTTAGATGTTTAGCATGAAACATCTTCTTATGTGTGTCTACCAAGTTTGTTTAAATGAAAACCCTTGGGTTAAAATTGGCCCTGCCGGTGGGGGGGAGGGGGGAAAGAGGGAGGTCATTGTTTTTCATTATATGTGTGTAGTAAAAACTTATGAAACTCATGAAACATCTTCTAATGGGTGTTCCAAGTTTGTTCAAATAAAAGCCCTGGGGTTTAAACTGGCTCCGCTTCGGGGGCCTATATACTGGTGAGCGACCTCAGGGCCATCATGGCCCTCTTGTTTTTTTATTGGGATTGAAAACCAATGTTCTAAAAAGCATTAGACATTCATTGTATTTCTTAATAAAATCTTTTTATTGTGATATTCAATTTGTAAATGCAATACTGCCCTTAACATTTCAATGTATATGCTTTTATGAAGGTTATTTCAAATGCTGTATGGAAATATAACAGTGATCTCAAGAGAGCAGAGAAGAAAAAGAGGGACAAGAGTGGAAAGATCCAGATGCCAAAAAGATCACTAAAGTCATATCTAGACACTCCTGCTGGTATTGGATATTTAAATTGGGAACTTATGCAAGAGCCTTATGTCTTTGGAAAAGCTGTTCTCCTGCAAGTCAAAGGAGTTGATAATTCTGTTTGGTTTGTTGTAAGTTTATTTGGGGTTTTTTTTGTTGGTTTTTAGCTCACCTGTCACAAAGTGACAGGGTGAGCTTTTGTGATCGCTTTTCGTCCGGCGTACGTCCGGCGTTCGTCCGTCCGTCCGTCCGTAAACTTTTGCTTTAAATGACATCTTCTCATAAACCACTGAGCCAATTTCATCCAAACTTCACAGGAATGTTCCTTTGGTGGTCACCTTTAAAAATTGTTCAAAGAATTTAATTCCATGCAGAACTCTGGTTGCCATGGCAACCAAAAGAAAAAACTTTAAATATCTTCTTTTAAAAAACCATAAGAGCTAGAGCTTAGATATTTGGCATGAAACATCTTCTAGTGAGTGTCTACCAAGTTTGTTCAAATAAAAGCTCTGGGGTCAAAATTGGCCCCGCCCCAGGGGGTCATTGATTTTCCCTATATGCATATAGTAAAAACTTAAAAAATCTTCTTTTAAAGAACTCAAGGAGCTAGAGCTAAGATATTTAGCATGAAACATGTTCTAATGGGTGTCTACCAAGTATGTTCAAATAAAAGCCCTGGGGTCAAAACTGGCCCCGCCCGGGGGGGGGGTCATTGATTTTCCCTATATGCATATAGTAAAAACTTAAAAAATCTTCTTTTAAAGAACCCAAAGAGCTAGAGCTAAGATATTAAGCATGAAACATCTTCTAGTGAGTGTCTACCAAGTTTGTTCAAATTAAAGCCCTGGGGTCAAAATTGGCCCTGCCCCTGGGGTCATTGATTTTCCCTTTATGCATATAGTAAAAACTTAAAAAAACTTCTTTTAAAGAACCATAAGAGCTAGAGCTTAGATATTTAGCATGAAACATCTTCTAGTGAATGTCTACCAAATTTGTTCAAATAAAAGCCCTGGGGTCAAAATTGGCCCCACCCCAGGGGGTCATAGATTTTCCCTATATGCATATAGTAAAAACTTAAAAATTTTCTTTTAAAGAACCAAAAGAGCTAGAGCTAAGATATTAAGCATGAAACATCTTCTAGTGAGTGTCTACCAAGTTTGTTCAAATTAAAGCCCTGGGGTCAAAATTGGCCCCGCCCCGGGGGTCATTGATTTTCCCTATATGCATATGGTAAAAACTTTAAAAATCTTCTTTTAAAGAACCATAAGAGCTAGAGCTTAGATATTTGGCATGAAACATCTTCTAGTGAATGTCTACCAAGTTTGTTCAAATAAAAGCCCTGGGGTCAAAATTGACCCTGCCCCAGGGGGTCATAGATTTTCCCTATATGCATATAGTAAAAACTTAAAAAATCTTCTTTTAAAGAACCCAAAGAGTTAGAGCTAAGCTATTTAGCATGAAACATCTTCTAATGAGTGTCTACCAAGTTTGTTCAAATAAAAGCTCTGGGGTCAAAATTGGCCCCGCCCCAGGGGGTCATTGATTTTCCCTATATGCATATAGTAAAAACTTAAAAAATCTTCTTTTAAAGAACTCAAAGAGCTAGAGCTAAGATATTTAGCATGAAACATGTTCTAATGGGTGTCTACCAAGTATGTTCAAATAAAAGCCCTGGGGTCAAAACTGGCCCCGCCCGGGGGGAGGGTCATTGATTTTCCTTATATGTGTATAGCAAAAACTTAAAAATCTTCTTTGGAAAAACCCAAATAGCTAGAGTTTAGATATTAAGCATGAAACATCTTTAAGTAAATATCTACAAAGTTTGTTAAAATAAATGCCCGGGGGTCAAAACTTGCCCTGCCCCAGGGTGACATTGTTTTTAACTATATGTGTATAGTAAAAACTTTAAAAATCTTCTTTTAAAAATGCCAATGAGCTAGAACTTAGATGTTTAGCATGAAACATCTTCTTATGGGTGTCTACCAAGTCTGTTCAAATAAACAAATAAAAGCCCTTGGGTAAAAATTGGCCCGGGGGTGGGGGGCCTATATACAGGTGAGCGACCTCAGGGCCATCATGGCCCTCTTGTTTAATGAAGAAAGTTGATTAACCAAATAGGCATTTGTCCTAAAATTTCTCTTGTATTTGTAAATTGCAATATTTTCTAAGATGTACATTTATGTTTTTGTTTTGTTTTTTGTTTTGTTTTTTTTTTGGGGGGGGGGGGGGTATAAAATGTGTATTGTATTTTGTAACAACCTTTGTAAATTAGTTCATTTATATGTTTAATGAAATAAAAAAAATGTATCCTAAAAGAAAAGGAAATTCTTCATAAAAGTGTTATGTGTTGATAAATTTATACAGTTAGATTGAAATAACAGTACAAAGAACCACAACACCATTGTTTCTAAAAGTCATTGCCACTAGACAGGGGTCTTTCAGCTTTATCAAAATGTGATTTAGTATTTAGTGACATATATGCATGTGTTTGAGCCTGTGATTACAGGAAGTTACATCATGGACAGCGAGTCATAGTAAAATAAAACACTAAACACTTAAAAATAGAACAAACACAAATAAGCTGAAGTAGTGATTCATGAAATGTGTCCTGTTCATTGCATACTTCTATCTCTGTTTCATACATTGAATATATAACTTAAAAAAAAAAAACATCATATTTTGCCAGATGACACAGGCCATGTGACATACGCATGCAGGGTAGAAATCAAATGTTTGAAATTGTCAAAAGTTGCATGGACACACTTTCTTAAATTGACATAGCTGTGTAAAAAATCATCATTGACATTGATTATGTGACATCCTGTATTATGCCATTATATATGACATCCACATTTGAAACATTAATATGGAATCTATGGCATTCATACGTGAAACCTTTGCATTTATGTTTTATTACACTATAATCATTGAAAGGATATAATTTTATGATTTTTGAGTAGAATATTATCAGTTGTTCATATTTATTTTTCACAAAATTGATAAACAATAATGGACATATTCATATTGGTATTTTACATAAAAAAAGTTGAAATTCTAGAAAAGCAAAATGAAAATAGATTATTTATATATATGAGCTGTATATTATGCATTTATTGTCTCCTTTACAGAAATACATTTATAAAAATATAGCTTGACTTCTGAAAGAATAGGGAGAGCTATTGTTTTCACCTGAATGTCAGTGTTGACATAGCTGTACCACTTTTGAAAAGTGTTTGCATGCAATTTGGTATTTTCAGAATTACTACAGTTTAAAGGTTGAAACTTCTCACACTTGTTTTCTGTCATTGTCTAACAAGATGGGCATGCATGAGTTATCTTTTAACAGAGTTGTGCCCCTTTTCTTACTGTCAATGGGCTGAGAATAGTTGAGCGCACTAACTTACAGACTGATAATGTTATGGTTGATTATAGTGAGTGTCAAATTACTAAATGAATTGCTTGAAATATCAAAAGTTTTTGTAGCATTGTAAATTAAGCACACTAGTTGGAAATGAATTTCATCTTCAATAAGATTTGTGTGGCATACAATACAACCATATTCTTAGATCATTATCCACATCTATTTGCTGGTTCCAAATCTCAGACATGTAACTGCACATCTAAATGTTGTATATTTAGATTTTTGAAGGTAAATGATGTCATGTAAAGTTTATACAAGTTCCTAGCTTCAGCATTTTGTAGCTAAACCTCATCCTGCTGTATTTTTTAAATAGACTTGTCCAGTTTTCATTTTTGGAACATACCATTATCATTTTTGGGGATGTCAAATTGAAAATTTGATGTTGGTCTGCCACCTGTATAGAGCCCGGTCAGACGTCACATATGTGCAGGCTAACCTGACTCTTAATACTTTCAATGCCAGTATGGCAAAGATTTATCATATTTATTTTAGCTTGATTGTGGTAAACATTGGAAGTTTATTTGAACCACTGTTGTTTCTGCTTCCATGAACTAACTGGTATTGGTGTTATACCAGTAAACACAGTTGTGACCCAAGTTTGGTACTAAACTACTAACATATTTTCCAAGATTAATGATATCTTTAGAAAATTGTAAGTTCTTAGGTTTGGCACTTATATACAATAATAACACAAAGACATGTTCAAAACTACTTAAATTTTGTAAATAAATGGAAATTCCAAAATCATTTGAGCCGCGTCATGACAAAACCATCAGTATATTAGGTGACAGGAATATGACCATAATTTGCATACTTGATGTTTTTGCATATATTTTCAAAATATTTGATAGATATTAGGGGGTAAATTTTGCTTTCATTTTATATGGTTAGAATTTGTGACCAGCATGGATCCAGCATGGATCCAGACCGGCCTGCGCATCCCCCAGTCTGATCAGGATTCATGCTGTTCGCTATCAGTTTCTGTACTTGTAATAGGGTTTGTAGGCGAACAGCATGGATCCTGATCAGACTGCGCAGAGGCGCAGGCTGGTCTGGATCCATGCTGGTCGCAATGTATTACGTTGGTTTTGTCATGACGCGGCTCATTTATTATGTTTGTTGCAGATTGTGAACACTGAGAGCAAGACTTCATTTTTGGACTGCAGTATAAAGAAATACACCTCCTGCATTGTGATGCAAGAACAAGTAAGAAATAACTACACAGAAGAAGAATATTTGATGGTGTCTTACTCAGGGTAACATATTAAGATCAACTTTAATTCAGTATATTAGGTGACAGGAATATGACCATAATTTGCATACTTGATGTTTTTTCATATATTTTCAAAATATTTGATAGATATTAGGGGGTAAATTTTGCTTTCATTTTATATGGTTAGAATTTGTGAAGTTCTCACCTTTTTAGCTTGACTATTCAAAGTATATGGAGAGCTATTGCGTCGGCATCTGCGTTGGTGAAAGTTGTTTGTAAAGTCAAATATCTCAATTATTGCTTGAATATTCAATTGAAACTTAAACTTGAAACTTACAATACTTATTTATAGTAACAATGTACATCAGATTGATAAGGGTGATAACTCTGTCTACAATATGTTCTTTTATTGTTACAGAAACTAGAGAGAGAAAAAAAAACATTTTTGGCCATTATCTCCTTAATAACAGTAACTGTAGTACCTTTTAAACCTTAGATTTGTACAAACTTGTTAAAGTGTATAAAGCTATATATCTGCTGAAAAATTATTTTTTGAATTTTAAAAAAGAATACTTTAGAAATGCTTGTTTGAAATAAACATGGTAGATAATTGCCTTAAAAACAGACAACACATGCACAAAATCATTGCTAGACGGATAAAACCCTACTTAAAATAGCAAAAAGTATTTTGTTCTGGAATATTTTGTTCTGCTTACATACAATATTCATACAATATTCACGTCTGTTAAATAACAGAGACATTCTATGTTACAACTTTTTCCAAAATCAACCATATAGTAATGGAACCAATATAATTTTTCTGTTGACAAATTTTATAAAAATATTTCATAAGATATATAGAGGATATTTGTTTGTTTTGCATGTAAGATTGAAATATAATTTCACTGAGTGAACACCAGATGCAATATTTTCACGAGTGGCGTAGCCACGAGTGAAAATATAATAGCTGGTGTTCACGAATGAAATATATTTCAATCTTATATGTAAAACAAATAAATTTTCTTTTTATTTTATGCTTTTTCAGCGACTTTAAGTAATTTTTTACTGATTTTGCCGCGTAACGTCACGCATTCTCCTTTGTGACGTCATATATATCATGACGTCACATCATCAGTTTTGAAATCTAGTTCCGTTGAATTTCTCTAATTTTGTTAAATTTCTAACATGATCTATGATGACATTGACTTTCTTTTCCTAAAGAAGCAAAATTTACGTATGACGGCATTTATTTATGCCTGTTATTCCATTTAGTTATGATTTTCTGTTCATCCGCATTCAGATATAGTCCGGCTACAGTGAAAATTATATTTTATAAATTTCACTAGTGGTTTATCAGAATATAATCATCTGATATATTACAATAAAACACTGGAAAGCATGAAATAAAGATTTATACCCTTTAATTGATGACATCTTTATATTAATATATGGGAGAAAAGGGTTAAGATAAATTTCTTATTTTCTGGTTACTTGCTTATTTCTGTATAATACACATATTTACCACTACATAAGATTTTTATATTGAATTGACAGATATATGTTAAAACCAATGTTTTGTGAACCGCTCATCACTGTGGCTTAATCTCGTACCCAAAAGCTACCAGGAATGAGAAAAAAACTTTCTTCAGGAATTTTTGTTAACCAAGTGTTGTTAAAAAAAAAAAGTCATTAATTTATTGTTTATGTTTACAGTGCTGTTTTAGTATTGAACAAGACTGGGGAAACGGTTGTTACACTGAGTTATGATGATGTAGCTGCCGCCGCAAGAGATGGTAACCCACCAGTTATAATCTCTCCAAAATTATTTGGGGTCAACAAAGAACAAAATAGGTAAGGGTCATTATATCAATTCAGAAATTAGAAATTACATTGAGCTTTTTGTGCCCCCACTTTGGGGGGGGGGGCTTTTAGCTTTATCCTTGTCCGTCCTTCCATCCGTCAGTCCGTCCACACTACCAATTAGGGATAGGGGGCCATCTGACTGTAAACAGAACAAAAGAGAACAATATAATTCATTCGATAACAATAGCATAAGGGGACATGGCCCTCTATTAAATAAAAGAAAATAACTAGATATGGCCCTTTATCCCTATTTCGTCTGATGTCCATCCTTCTATCCGTCTATTCTCATTTTGTGTCGCACATATCTCAAAAACTATTTGACCTAGAGTCATGAAACTTCACAGGAATGTTGCTCAGCATGTGTTGTTGTGCACCTGGGGTTTCGCTTGTGGATTTTTTCTGTTAGTCAGAGTTATTGCCTTTCACTTAATAAAAATTTGCAATTATTAACTTGTGTCACAAGTAGCTCAAAAAGTATTTGACCTAGGGTCATGAAACTTTACAGGAATGTTAATCAGCATGTGTAGTTGTGCACATGGGTATTTTCCTGTGGATTTATTTAGTATTTGTAGAGTCATTGCCATTTACTTGGTGAAAATTTGCAATTTTCAACTTGTGTTGCATGTAGCTCAAAAAGTATTTGACTTAGAGTCATGAAACTTAAAAGGAATGTTGGTCAGCATGTGTAGTTGTGCACATGGGGTTTCACTTGTGGATGTATCCAGTATTTCTAGAGTTATTGCCCTTGACTTAGTAAAAAACTGTTCCCTTATAATGTATCATTTGTTCCTTGATTGCTTGAGTTAGAATCAACCAACTTAACAGGAATAATGATCAACATCACTGTGGAGCTATGCACCTGGGGTTTTGCATGTGGATTTTTTTCAGTTTTGTTAGAGTTATTACCCTTGTTTTAATATAAATTTGCAGTTTTGACCTTGTTCATGCATAGCTCAAAAATATTTGATCTGTAGGCTTGAAAAATTACAAGAATGTTGGTCAGCATGTGTACTTAGTATATGTTAGTGTTCATCCGTGCTGTTCTACAGAAATTAGAAACTTCGACAGGAGCAATAGCGACAGGAGAATGTTTCTAATTTCTGTAGAACAGCTACGGATGAATACTAACATACCTAGTGTCAAGCTTTATTTGGCCTTATCATCATTGACTTTAGTACGTCACTATGTGGTTCTATGAAGTATAATGAAAAATAGAAATCAACTATGAACGGAATTCAATATAATAGTAACAATTTTTGTACTTCTATAAATATTAACACACAGAATTTTTAAGAAATACAGCGTTTTCATTGGATGACAAATAAAGTTGGACACTAATGCACCTTGGGGTTTGCTTGTGGATTTATTCAGTATTTGTAAAGTTCTTGCCCTTTACTTAGTAAAAGATTTTTAGTTTTCAACTTGTGGCATATGAAGCCCAAAAAATATTTGACCAAGAGTCATAAATTGACGAAACAGTGGAGTGTGGGGGGCACCTGTGTCATAGAACACATTTCTAGTTATTATATATCTTTAATACCTCATATGGTATAGTAAATTTTGGTTTCTTTGTACATGTGATTGATTAATGACAAGCTTTACACTTGAACACTTAGGTACATTGTAGTGTTTTTTATACAAATAACATCATAATAATCATCATATCAGTGAAACACAAATACACTAGCAAACTGATTGATATAAAGAGTGTAAAACTTTGTAAAACTGTGAATAAATTATGCACGTAAATGAGCATTCTTTTGTTAATAGCGCGAATGTTTGTAGAGACCTCCAAAATACACTGTGAAAATATTCTTCCGCGAATTCAAATACACATACAGTAATCTTTTGCTATATATCATTTCCCTTTGTTAAACTTACAGTATTTGGTGTACAATAATTGGTCTAGAGGAAGATATCAGAGATATTGAAGACAAAATCTGCTGGACCATAGGATCTGTATATGATGAACTGTCTGATGGCTTGGGTCATAATCCCTATGTAAAACAGTTGACCTATATTGGGAAGAGTATCAATTCTACAGGCAAACTTTTAATGGCAAACCTTCATTATGGGCTAGCATTTATCAATCCTAACACATTGGAGTATGTTCCAGTAACAGTGAAAGAGGGATGGTGAGTATTTAATTAGATAAACTTTGTATGTACTGATTAATTAATAATTTGTATGAGAGATTGTGGCGTTCTGGCTTATCAAAATTTGTAAGAACAAGATGAATAGTTAAGAGCATGTATTTGAGCCGCGTCATGACAAAACCAACATAGTGCGTTTGCGACCATCATGGATCTAGACCAGCCTGCGCATTCGCACAGTCTGATTAGGATCCATACTGTTTGCTTACCAACTCTATAAGTAAAGAAACTGATAGTGAACACCATAGATCCTGATCAGATGAGCAGGCTGGTCTGGATCCATGCTGGTCGCAAACGCACTATGTTGGTTTTGTCGTGATGCGGCTTATTTCAGTTTATAAATATACTTTGATGTAACATTAACAGCAAATTACATATAAACTATCATGTTATTTAATTTCTTACACCATTAATTTTGCAAAGTTTAAAATTTAGAATTTTTGTGCTGTCCCGTCTTACCTTTTGAAATGCAAGCATCGATGTTGAGATGCTGTTTGCATTTAGACTAAATTTATTGGTTGCTATTCAATATTAGAATCAAGGCAGGCGAGTTGTGCCCTTGTGTAGATGCCCTCTTCTTAACCTAGGAATCATAGGTTTATGGCATAAAAGGATGTCATGTGACACCAGTACTGGTTAGTCTCAGGGTGGTTTAGATAAGTTTCTGCTTTCATCACAAGCTAAAGCAATATATATATTAAACTTAACTAGCATTAATACCATTGTACTGAAATACATTAGAATATACTAATGGGCTGCATCAAATTTAGAGCATTTTCTAATACATGTACTGATTTAGGACTGGAAGAGATATAAGTACATATGGATATTGCTATGTTACAAAGTTCTGTTGCCTGTATGTGGTAAAACTGATAAAACAAACTACTTTGAAGGAACTCCACTGTGGTTTAAAAGCTTAAAACATGAAATATGAATTCCTAACATAAATCAGATGGGGCACTTAACATATAACAATATGCAAAAGATAGATAAGAAATATACGAAAAATATTGTTAATCTTATTTTTGCGTTATTCTAAGCCCGATTTGAGTAAATGCAAAGCTTTTCAATTTTCAGTCATTTTTCACAATAAATGATTATTTTGAAAAAAAAACAGAGTAATCTGATGATCTGAAATTTTGCACACAAGTCATTGTTCTACCTTTTCATGAAATGGAACATCAATCTCGAAACATTGTTTCCAGGCTCATCGTGTCAGTGGAGTCGTTTTAACTTGGTAGAATAAACACAATAGGGTTCCTCCTTTCTCTGCTCTTGAAGTCCCTGTTCCAAATTTTTGTATTGGTGTCCATCTAGGTGTGTTGCTGGTGTGGCTGGGATATGCCAGCTGCTGTGTTCAGTGATTGTCACCATGTTGACCATTGTTCTCATTCTTTTAACTTAATATATATTTTACATTTAATATTGATAGATAGATACTGTTATAAAAAGAAAAGAACAATTTCCTCTGAATTTTGTTTAAATCTATAAAGTACACATTCGTAAACAATCGGCAAAAAAAAAAACCACCAAGAAAACCATGGCTTTTGCCAATATGAATATGTTTAAAACTCTACACACTACAGGTAATCACAGAAAAAGATAAGAAATTAGACCATTTGACAAGTTATAGGGAATGCAGCTTGCAAAACATAGTATACATTCACTTCTTCAAATTACACATATTCAGGAAGAATTTACTAGTTTTCAATAAATTTCTGCTAGGGATGGCAACGAGTAACCGGTTAACCGAGTACTAGATCGAACGTCCGAATATCGGTTAACAAAATTGATATTCGATTACTCGGAAAAAATATTTATCTTCTACTTTTTTGCGACTTAGAAAGATTAGTTCAGAAATTCGGAAATGTACACGTATCTGTATAAATACTTGTTAAATGCAATCAAAACATCCTTGCAGAGGTGTGAAAATGATATATTAAATTTAACGAGGCGATCAGCAGTTTGACACGCGTATGGGATTGAACACAGTCCTGTGTCGTTTACGTCATTCGGCCTCTTATGACATTTAATCACCTTTAAATATTAGACAGTTTGTAGCCGAAAAACAAGTGGTATTGCTACACTGTAAAATATACGGAATATTATGTTGTAGCTTTGTATTTTGCTACGAGCAGAGTTGGAAAAATTGATATCAATTTTCCTGCATTGCGAGTAGAAAAATGCATAGGCACAGAAAGCTACTACAACATAATTTTCCTTTTATTATATATACCTTTTCGTTTGAATTATAAATGATTTTCATTATACTACACTTCTATAAGAAAATTAAATGTAGCTGTCAAGAAATAAATTTATGACCGACGGGTGAATACGTAGTTTTTGCAAAACCGGCCACGCCTTTTATAATTTTGGTTTTCGTTTCCAAATGCTACGTTTATACACAGCTAAGATCGGAACCAACGTCAAAAATAGTCCGGCACTGCCATATGTGGTACCGTATTTGTCACTAACATAATACGGACTTTTCTATCCGTTGAAGCGTATTTGCTCTTCAAGTTCATTCTGTATTTTAGGGAGAAAATTTGTAGGTATATAATAAATGCTGTCATTGACATTTCTTATGTTTATATTTATATATATATTTCTTGCAGTCCTATTTATAGTTACAAATTCTATGAATTAAAATTGAAAACGAAAGTAGCATGCAGACGGTGTTGATATTGTGTGATAAAACTTTAAATATCATTGGAAATCAGCCGAGTAACCGAGTACTCGATCGGAAAAATGACCGAGTACTCGAGTATTGATTTTGGTATTCGTTGCCATCTCTAATTTCTGCAATAAAAGTAAAAGTTTACTCAAAGATAAGCATAGTTATATCTTTAAGTTTTAAGATTTTTTTTATTGATGTATACTAATGTTTTCACTTTCACAAGTCTTTATCAGGTTGCAATTTGATATCTTCTTCTTTGTGAGTAAATACATTAATAACCAAAAATAAGTACAAGTGGTTAGATTTATTCCTTAGACCACAGCTGTTTTCTCTCGGCCAATCAGAGAGGTTTAAAAGTATTTGATATATCCCACACATCACAATAAAGTGTTTGATATAACTATCATGTTTGTATTCAACTGAAAGGAAAACCCCGTTATGTGCACGCTTTATGCGAGAAAAAATTCTATGTATATTGTAAAGTAAATAGTGTAACTCCCTTCTTAAAACAAACAGATAGCCATAGTCCTTTGACCAATTTATTTTGACATTTCATCATTTTACAAGAATAGTTACTGTATTTTAAAATAAGAAAAAACTAGCAATAATGAAGTAAAATGCGTTTATCAATCTATTTTTACGACCGCTTTTGTGCTAATATTTTCAAGCACTGTGATTTCAATAATCGCATCCTGAATTATGCCCGGCTCACTCTTAATAGCAGACACTGTAGATGTACATTCATTTACTGGTTTGGGAATAGGGGATTCCACTGGTGGGCAAGGGGGTGGAGTTTCGAACGGTGACTGGGCTGCGGTTGCAACGCTAAGGAAATGCTATGCTTTAAGGCTTCAGAGGGACGTTTGTAATATTTTTTTATGAATCAGGTAAAAAAGTCAATGCAGGTGTATATAAAGCATACAATAAATAAACGAATCTATATGTCAAGTAAAATATTTTCAACTTCAGCCGGACAACCAATAAATATCCTAAACCCTAGGGTTCTTTAAGCATTAAGAAAACGTTAAATAAAAGTTACCTGCCGTTTCTCTAACGAGCCCACTCTTGATAAGCAGCCACCGCCCATGATTTCTGTCTAAGAGTATTTGTGGGTAAGCAGTCTTGCTTCTCGACTTGTTATTCAAGCGCTGTGTACTGTGTTATGTCATTAAATCATTTAAATGAGGAGTCAACAGGAATAACAACAAAATCACTCAAGTTGCGAAATTATAATGTAATCACATTCAGAAATGTTAAATTCTTCCCAATTTTCTTCTGACTGCACCTTTGTGATAAAAATTATAAATGGAATGTGAAATCTATCATTCATAAGTGTGTATTCAGTAACTTATGCAAGAACATAAATTATGCTATTTTCTCGTGCATTTCTTTTGCTTACAATAAGGCCAAATAGATTGAAAAAGAAATATTTGGATATCCGTATGTAATTGTGGGAGAAAAAAATGTTTACGCATGTTTAATCTTCACCTTAAACAGAGAAAACTACCTGTGGTCTAAGTCAGATAGATAGCTCGTACCAGTTGGATGTGAGATTTATCAACACGCTTCGCTCGTTGATAAATCTCACATCCAACTGGTACTCATGATCTATCCTATACATAGATGATTGTAATTAAATGGTTTACAGCATTAACTATTATACAAACAAGCACAATGAGATGGATTAATTCTTATTATCTCAAAATGTAACTTTTGTTATCTCCCTTGATAATCACACGCCCTGTATTGCACTGGATAATTATGTTAAGTAACATCTAGTTCTGAGTGATTTCTTCTTGTTGAACTGACCAGTCTGTAACAGATTCTCATAAATAATAAAAATGTGGTTACAATAATCACTGTTACCTATTACCTTATGATTCAATCATTTACCGACCTCTTTCGATATTTGATACATGTATTCATAGTGAAAACATACTTATTTCCTGCTCATTTTATTTGATGTCTTTAAGGGGGAAAAATAAAACTTGGATGTGGCTCATTCAAAACAACTAATTTTTCTTCCTGTCATATCATTTCAAAATTATTTGTTTTAGATCATATGATAAGCTGCTTTTCATGTTGATACTGTACATATGATTAAATATATGTTTTCTTTAGTTCTTACAAATTTTTATTTTCTACCTATGAGTTAACCAGACTTACAGTCTAAGTAAGATTAATAATTTATTCTAGAGTCTTAATATGCGATGTTTGATATGAGAGAATATGCAGCATTGTGATTTGTACGATGGTTAATGGAGGCATTGTAGCAATGTAAAGCATCATCCAATGCGTATTCCTGCTCCAAACATTGTGCAAGTAAATTTAGGGCTGTTTCTTTGTGTCCAAGGTTTGGCTCAGTGGCTATGGCTTGTCTAAGCTTGTTAACAGCCATCAATTTCCTTTCTCTGTTACCTTGATGGGAAAAGACTTTGTATTGTAAGAAATAAAAATAGGGGATAGAGTCTACTACAGCCCAGTCCATCCAATCGTCATGCTGCTCTCTGGAATGATGCATGCCCGATGCTGTGCGAAAATACTCATGTTTTAGCTCCTCCGGGACACAGTTTACTTCACATGGCAGGAACCTGACACAAAAAGCAGTGTGCTTTAATACATGTTTTATATCACCTTCATGACAAACTTCCTGAAATTCATGCTTTCGCCTTTCTCTATCTGGACTCTGGTAACAACCACAAACGGACTGCAAATGTTCAATGCTATATTGTTGATCTGTTTGATCAAGTATGCTTTTAGTCTGAGGGATGTCTCCTTTACAGTAAAACACTGATGCTTGTTTTAAGCTACATGAGAAATCAGTCATTGAACCTTGTTCCAGTATAAGAAGAATGTTTTCTGTAATTGGTTCATTCCTAGAAATACACCGAGAAGCAAGAACTGATCCATGTGACATGTATAAGAAGGATGATAGGACAGTACAGGCTGTCTTTGCAGTGTCATCACCTTCAGGATAATTGCTTACAAGCTTGTCAATATATTGTGATAAAGTTTGAACAACAGTTTCAGTTTTGTAATCTGTCAAAGTAGAGATGATTCCCTTAATGCGTGCACTCAAACCTAGCATGAAATTATAAAGCAGGTGTTCTGATACTGATTGGGTCATTGTAGGCGCTGGTAGATCTACTTCAGATATATTAGTGTGGTGAGCATTTTCAAACTGTATCAAACTTAATCTCATACCAAGCTGGTCAATTTGTATTTCATTTAAAGCATTACCATCACTATCTAAAATATATTGTATTGTGGTAAGAATTTGTGGTTTGATGTCTGGTGGAATACGTCTTGCCATAAGGTTGTTTTCCCGTATAATAAAGTGTGGGCAATGCTCTAACAAAACACAGTCATGCAGAAATTTTAAGCAAATATTCAAACAGTTTAGTAAGTTATCATCTTGCCAGAGATTTTCTCCTTCTCTTTCAATGCAATGAAGGAGTACTGTTTTACAAATGAAACTTGATAAAGCATCTTCAGACACAAGGGTCTGGTAAGATTTTAGAATCATTTTCATTAAAACATAACACCTGATTTGAACTATGTTTAAGCTGAACATAAGTCTGCGTTCTGTTAATGATGTCGATATTCTCCATTGAAAATCCTCATTTTCAGTACCATGCAAACCAACGGGTACAACAAAACATCCATCATTCATAGCTTGCCTCTTTAATTCTTCAGGAGGCCAATATCCAGGTCTTGTTGTATTTATCCACTGTCTTGCCTCCTTTGGCCAAGATTTACAATAATATGCATGCACAATGTCATCATCATTTAATCCTTGTAAACCGCGTGTAGACAATGATGGTCCATGTCTTACAGTACCCGCAGGCATTCTATCTACAAACCAGTCATTCCTTAAAAGGTCTCTTCCAGTTTGTATATGAACAACTGGGCTAGGATAATTGTCATATGTCTCTTGTAGAAGACAATACCCTGGTGGTGTATTAGGGTCATGCACCATCAATACATTTTTATATCCTACACGCCACTCTGCAAGATCTTGTATTATATTAAAACGGTTGTCAGAAACAAGGGTGTCTGTATCCGAATTAAGCCCTATTGCTGTGGTGCCTTCTGTCTGGCTCCCAAAACTATATATTGTTACTTCCTTCCCTAGCATTTTTTGCTGTATTATTTTAATAGTTTCATTTGCCAACATAATTTCTCTCCTTTTTCTAACTGTGGCATCACTTACACCAATGTCATCTAGCACTTTAGATAGTTGCAGTGAAAAACTCCTTGTATGGTTGGGTATGTCAGACATCCTGCAAGAGAGAGAGACAATTTATAATTAGTCCAATTTCATGTTTATTTCTGAAACTCTGAATTCAGGAACCTTTCAAAATCCGAAGTCTCTGACTATACTCCCACAGGTGTTTGGTTTTCCGATGTTACACTGTATTAATGCATATCACTAAAGTTGACTTCAACATGCTAGCCAGGTTGTCATTCTTCTGAATGATCTTTAAAAACAAACACTTCCCTGGAAATACTGTTAAATTATAGTATCTCACCAACTTTGCGCAAATAATATTATTTCAGTTTGATGAACTATAAATGAGCCGTGTCACAACTAAACCAACATAATGGGCTTGAGACCAGCATGGATCCTGATAAGAGTGTGCGAATGCGCAGGCTGGTCAGGATCCATGCTGTTTGCTATCAGGTTCTCTACTTGTAAAAGGGTTGGTAAACTAACAGCATGGAACCTGATCAGACTGCGCGGATGCGCAAGCTGGTCTGGATCCATGCTGGTCGCATTTTTTTAACCCATTATGTTGGTTTTGTCATGGCGCAGTTTCAAATATGCTTACTATTCAAGGTGCATGTTTCTACCTTAAAATTGCACTGTTCTGCTTTACTGTTTCACAATTCATGCATTATTTTCACATTCTCTCTTTACTGAATACAGTAAACATGGTGTGTATTTTCAACAGTATAAAGTTTTGTCCCAAGCTAAAAATTATTGATAATATAATAAAGGTATAGAAGCTTTTAAAAACATGTCACATTGAAGTCTAAATGTCAAGCTTCGAAACCATGTAGAAAAATATAATATAAAAGATACATGTTTGCTTTCTACCTTTGCCCAAGTTTGTTTTATGCATCCTTGATAAAACCTTAGTTAAAATATACTCACATTCATGCATAATTCATTAATAATCTCTCTGAGCTCTTATTTCATCACTGTTCTTTTGTCAGAAGATAGGACTGGTGTGATTAAAAAAACATCATTTCAACACGACTCATTTATAGTTCATCCAACTGAAAGAATATTTTTTGCGCATAGTTGTTTCTACATTAAGATGATGAGATTGAAATCATTACCTTTACATAATTAGCTTCCCGATCATACCAAAATAAGGGGGTGTCAATTCAAAGGGAAAATATTGAATTTTCTTTCCTCTTCATGATTTTATTTCCATAAGGATTTTGTTTATTCTTCCAAAAAATTAATACCTGTAACATGAACTCCTGTAATTTTAATTGTTTCAAGGGTTTAGATATTATCACTCAAAAATTGTGTGAACACTTACATTTAGCATTCAGTCTTACATTTCAAATACATTGTAATCATTAAAAGACAATGTTGTAACTGTGTGGTGGTGATGAGTAATATTTGGAAGTTCAGTGTCAGGTCATCATGATCCTCATATTTAAGTCAACTTTTCATCCTCATTCTTTCATTCTTTATTTCCGTACTGTATCAAACTTTTCAGTTTTCACCACAGAATTTATATACATGTACATGTATTTTTTAGCAAATTTTCATTATTTTTGGTCTTGGTTTCATTTTTATTTTTTTTACAGAGATTAAAATTTAACTTACAAAACTGTTTTTATAATGGAATTTCTAATATTTTAAACTTAGCCTGCCTTTGGTCTTGGGGATAAAGAGAAAACAAAAAAAAGCAGAAATCAAGCTAAATGTTATACATGTATGTAATGAAATCATAACAAAATAAAACTTCAAGAAGATCATAATTTTATAATGATTTGACTTAAAATTATGAAATGATTTAAACTTTTTCAAGAAAATATGAAACTGAAATTAATGATTTTCAAAGTGCCTCATGCTTTGAGTTTTAATCGATGTTTTAAACATGAATATTCTTCAAATATATTAGTTAACACTTTAGTAAGAACAAATCAATGAATTAAATAATGCAGACCGACAACTATTGTTAATATGCAAAGTTTCATGGAAAAAGAAGATATCAACTTTTTGAGATATCAACCTAGTCCGGGAACTTTTTGACCTCACAGTACATACATTAGACTTATAAGAGTGGATCCCATACTCATTTACATAGAGAAATGACCATGTTTTTCCCATGTCTTCTTAAGTATCAGCAGACATTTTCACAAAAAATCTTACGATTTATCTTAAGTTTTTCACTTACGATAATCGTAAGTTAAATCTTAAGTCATTTTCACAAAGCCACTCGTAAGTTAAAATTTTATCTTAAGATAAAAATTTCACTTACGATAAATCTTACGACAAAAACATCCCCTAAGCAACGTTCATTTGATAGTGATGTGCATGCTCTATATTTGATTCCGGTTTTAAAATCAAGTAATCAAGAGCTTGAAATATCTATTGTACACAATCAAATTTCAATAAGAACAAAAAAAGGATTCAAACTGATATAATTTATATCTTGATTGAAGATAATTATATATATTTAAAAGATTCAGAAAGAAGGTCTACTATGTTATTAAATAAATAAAAAGGTATACTAGTACATGCGGCAATGAAATCGAACTCACCAATTGTACAAATTACAAGTTTTTCAATGAAAACTACAGTAAAGTTCACATTTAAACTATTCATAACCCTCTCCATCGTGACGTCATCAAGTCATGACATCACAAATGTTTATGTTAAAAAATAATTATACCTCAATGTTATGCTTAATATTTATTTGTCCTCCAACGTTTTTTTTTTATTCAGTTTAGGTAAGAGCTACATGATATTTTACCCTTAAGAGAGAAAAAAATACACTTACGAACGGGGAAGACCTATCGTAAAGTTACGACAGATTTTTCACTTAAGATTTTCTTAAGATTTTTTGTGAAAAGGAAATTTATCGTAAGATTTCTCTTACGACAAAAAATTGTCGTAAGATTTTTTGTGAAAATGTCTGCTGGGTATTATCTTCACTAAATTAACTATCTAGTTTCATGTATTTCAATTGTACCAAAGTCAATTTCAAACCAAGAATGTCACTAATTTTCCTTACAGGACAACATTTTGTGTTTTTTAAGAACTGATGTAACACATTCTAGGAGATTTGAGCCGCGTCATGACAAAAGTAACATAATGCGTTTGCGGCCAGCATGGATCCAGACCAGCCTGCCGCATCCGCGCAGTCTGATCAGGATCTATGCTGTTCGCTTTCTAACCTTGTAGAGAAACTGATAGTGAACAGCATGGATCTTGATCAGACTGTGCGGTGCGCGGCTGGTCTGGATCCATGTGGTCGCAAACGCATTATGTTTGGTTTTTTGTCATGATTTGGCTCATTTGGTTGTGTTACTTTCAGTAGTCTGCTGTGTGTCTTATCCGATACACTGTTGCCCCGGATTCTTCATCTGTTTAAAGTTATACAAATTTATTTTAGTTTGATTGTGTTGGAAGCTATAGCTTATTGAAACACTCTCGAATCTGTTCCTGGAACCAACCAGTACTAAGCGATGAATGTATAGTTTCTTGCTGAAGGAAACAATGGATTGCCCCTGATAGGGTTTGAACCCACGTGGTCAGCAATCCTTAGATTACTAGTCCAACGTGTTAACCACTTGGCTACACCACGTTTAATAGGAGTAGCTATCATAATGAAATCAATGTGCTTACTATGAACCAATGATTTTCTTACCAAGAATATAGGTGTTTTGCAAATATTTGTTTGTTCGTGTATATTGATTTAGAAATATGTAGCAAATACATACTATTGCAAAATATTGAAATATCCCATTGATATGACTACTTGATTATTATATGATTATTTTAATTTGTTTGCCTTTTCTACAAACTCTTCAAACAGCCCTAGTATTATATCCTTTATGTTATATTAGATAGAGTAGACAAATAAAAATACAACATCATGTTTTATAACTTTTTCAGTGAGAAGCATTTTGAATTTACCAAGGATAATAATGCTATGAAAGGGGATTTTGAAAATATTGAGATCCTTACAGAAAAAGCATTCATGGACGATCAAAGGCCTGTGTATCGTGTAGTACTTGGTGTACAAAATAAAGTGTTTGTTCTAGAAATGACTAATCAACATGAAGACACAGTTCACCTAGAAATGATATTTTGTGTAGTTTTACCAGGTCTACCAAAGGAAGCTTGCTTGGTTGGCAAACAGGGTAAGTTGAGAATTAAATCCATTTAGAAAATTTGAATTATAGATAAAAAAAATTCTTACATTTAAAAACTTCTTAGAAATAGGTACAAAACCAATGGAGTTGTATACTGCATTAGTATTGGACCCAAAATGATGAAAGTTTTATTATTTATTGACCTCAGAAAATTAAAATCTATAAATTAGTACTTAAGGCTCAAAAAGATAGATAGTGCATCAGAAAAAGATCAAGTAAAATAAATTTCTACAAAAAATGTAAAATAAAAACCCTTAACCTGCTGAATTTCTTAAATGGACTTTTCCAATTTCCATTTCGGAACAGTTCATTATCAATTTTAGGTTATATCAAGGTGAGAATTTGAGGTTGGCCAGCCAACATTTTAGATTGTTACCTTTAGTGCTGACCTTTCTCTTAAGTAGAGACTAATTACTTTTTGTTCTAACTGTTTAAGGGCTAATGAAGACAATTATATTTTATATAAAATGTTGTCTTGAATTTTAATTTTCAAAGGATTATTTACAGCAGATATCAGCTATCATGTGTTCTCTATTTATAGTTGGTATGCTGATTTCGTTAACTCAGCATAATGATGAAGCAGATGAGTATTATCGGGAGCATGTGTTTTACTATGATTTCGACGGCCTCCTTCATGGTGTGTTATTGTGCCTGAGTCATGGTCCAAGGTCATTCTTTCCTGTATATCTCTATGGTAACACAGAGAATGAAGTTCAAGGTGAAGGTCAGTCTCAAGCAGGATGGCATGTTTATCTGAGAGATGGACGAGATGGTATCATGTGTTTACGTCTGCATTAATGTGACATGTCGGCCATCAGCATCTACAAGTTTGGAACATCTCACCAATTTTGCCATAATTTATAGCTATCATATGTTGATAAATAAGACCAGAAACAGATAAGTTTATTCTTCACTGAAATGGACAAAGTCAGCTGATTTTATATTGACTGTTTCTGGATGGTGTAATAACAAACAGGGGTTGCTGCAATTGTTTTATTTATAAAATTGAGCCGGGTCAACAACAAAACCAACATAGTGCGTTTGCGACCAGCATGGATCCAGACCAGCCTGCGCAGTCTGTTCAGGATCCATGCTGTTCGCTATCAGTTTCTCTACTTGTAATAGGGTTGGTAAGCGAACAGCATGGATCCTGATCAGACTTTGGGATGTACAGGCTGGTCTGGATCCATGCTGGTCACAAACCAATTATGTTGGTTTTGTCATGGCACGGCTCTTAATTAACTCATTCTGGCACTAAAATGACAGTAAAGTGATGTCTTATGAATGTCTTATGAATCCATCAGAAGAATGTGAAGTTGAAGGTCACTTTGATCTTGGAGACGGGACAGATTGTAATGTATTTTACTTCATCACACGATTTTCAATAAATTACTTAAATAATGATTTGAATTATATTTTGATAATTAAACTGTAGCAGAACTGTATTTAAATGCAGATGAAAAGTATATACATGTATCATAAATGAATGAAAATGTCAGCAGAAATACACTTCATTATATGTAAAATGTATGTCATGATTTGATGGTGTCATAAAATAGAGCACATTAAATCATGGGGCAAATATCAGTATTTAATTTAATCAATAAAAACCAATAGAACAAAGCATCGAATCCATAGAATATTTGTTTGTGACAAGTAAAAGATTAATTTATATTTCACTGGTGAACACTTTTAAAGCTATATTTTCCTCTATGGGTAAGCCAGTGATTGCATATAGATCTATAGATTATTTCATCAATACATGTAAATCACTTTCGTATACATTACATATATACATAATATTATAGTACATGTCATAATCTAATAATTCTGTATCTGATATATGTTTAAATCATTATTTTATAGTACTTAAACAATGTTGTACTAAAAGCATTATAATTATGGCATCACTAATATTGAAGGTTATATGGTAAGAATTGTTTTTCTGTATATTTAATGTCATTATAAGAAACATGACAGGTTGTTCAAATTCATCTTTTGTTATATAGTTTATACATTTATGTAATGTGTTTTATAATATTGTATGACAAATATTTGTATTTATAATGTACTAGAAAAACTGGTTATAATTCTATTTTCAATCTATTGATACAAGTAACATGGTTTTATTTCATGGCACTAAAATGATGTACATGTATATAATCATATACAGATTATGTAACTATAAAAACATAGGCTATGAAAACATAATAATATTAGGGATAAAGAAGCCCTGTCCTGTTTTTGTTTGGGGTCCTCCAGGGCTCCTTGTCACTGGTTCTTGTTGCTGGGTCATTTTGGGTTGCTTTCGTTGAACGGCACCTTGTTGTTTCCTTGTTGATCTTGTTTATCGTATTTTAAATTTTAACTTATTTTTTGTGAGTTCCCTATGGGTGGTTGCCACTTAGCTCAATAGGTAAGGCATCTGATTAGTAATCCATGGGGCGCTGGTGTGATCCTCACATGAGCAAAATTTCTCTGTGACAATTGACCCGGAACATGGAGGCTAATGGTCATTTGTCTCTTATTGTTGATTCAGAAAACATGTGGGATTAGTAGTCTTTCACTTTTAGAGAAATTGGTATTTACTGGTTAGTTATCCAGGCAAGACAACAAATTATATCAATGCATGTTATACAATTACTTTAGCTAATTTTGTCATTATAATACATGTAGTTTAATACTTACAAATTTTTGTGACAGTAACACAGCTAAATTTTGGAGAAAAGTATTTTTTATTGGCAAAATAATTGTATTAAATATTTCTGTGTATTCTTTTGTAGACTTGATTTTTTTTCATGAAAGCTTATTCTGTGTGTTTGGTACAAGTCAGACAAGATATTGTATCAGTGGGATGATAACAGACTCATGGGATAAAATATGTTATTCAATATCCTGTTAGGTTGCCAGTAGAATTTCTAGTACTGTTATTTTTGAAAAAATATTCTCTTATAACATATCATTCTCTTTGTAAGCAAATTTATTTTCTCTAACCTGATTTACTATCATATTGTATTTTATGTTATCATGACCAATGATATATACAATGTCATATATTTTGTTTATCTATTTGCATGGCGATGTATTTATAAGGAAAAAGACTGTTCTGTTCAATCAAATTAGTTGTTTTAGGGTCAATCAGGGTAACTGCTGTGTACATTCCTGTATTTTCTAAATTAATGCTGGCAATTCATTATTAGTAAACCTCTGGTCAATGAATAATCTCTCATGACTACTGTTCAGTAAAAATACAAGTCTTTAAAATTATTTTGTTATGTAACATGTGTGGACATTTATGATGACATGCATTTTTTTTTGTCATGTCTTCTTGTGTAATAGGATGGATATGGGATGTTTATATTATCATGCTATTGTGTTAATTATCCGTTTGCACTGTCCACAATATTTATCCATTTTTTTTTTAGAATTGTTCAGTTGATACAATATTATACATGTAGTTTAAATTTAGATTAACTTATTTACTTTATATCAAGATTTTCTAACCATATTTATTTTCCTTTTTATACTGACTTGATAAAATGTTTATACCAGATTTTATTTTATATAAATAAGTAATTTCACATTTTTTTATATGGAAGACGGACATAACCCAACACGTCAAAACCCCACACCTCAAAATTTTATATAGAGTGGACAAAACCCCACACCTTAAATTTTACAAAGTGGACATTTTGTCCTAGTACATTCTTTTTATATAAATATTCATAACCACTATTTTTTGTCCTACAAAAATTATTTATTCCAGGTTGAACAATGTTGTTGTGTTTTTTTTATGGTTTTGTTGTTTTGTTTGGGGGGGGGGGTCTTTTTGTCTTTGGCTTAATCAGGTTTTTGATTGAGAGTAAAAAAACAAGTATATTTGTAGATATTAGATGTTGGGAGTTTTATAGAAGTGATGGTGTTATTGTAAACATGTCATTTTGTCGGGAAAAAAGTGCGTGTATGTCCCATGGCACTGGTGGTAAAGTATTAAAATTCTTGTGAATAATGTTAACAATTAATTTTGTATTTACTTTTTTCTATACAGGCAAGTATATCTTATTAATGATACAGGTATTTGCCACTTAATTGTCAGAGGAATTATATTAGAAGCTAGAATTGTCATAAATCTTCTCATAGTGCTATAGATCCATAAATCCATCATTTCTGTTCATAATATTATAATAATTATTCCTTTAAAAAAATATTTCTTTCATTTTTGTTAGAATATTAAACATTTTCTATTTTACAATACTCATTATTTTTATGTGATAAATATGAAAATCTAACAAATTAATACAATGAAAATTTCATATACTATTTGGTGATATATTCTTTTGTTGTTGTTACTTTTTTAAAAGGTCTCTCTTATTTTGATTTACAAAAGTTTTGACATTTTGAAAATGTGTCTTTCTTTCTATATGTTTTGAAATACATGTACTACAATTTGCTAACAATTATCTGTTGTAGAATTCCTATAGAATATTACAATAAATATTACATACATATACTCTCAGTTTATGTTTGTTTCTCAAGTTTTCATCAGAAATAAATTTAAGATTTAAGCATTTTATCTGGAGATACTGCTCTTGGAGTGTGCATTATAATGAGGTCAACTTAAAGAGGTGAGTAAATGAAGATACCGATGTAATCATTTTTAGCAGGACTTCAAGAATACGGAGAGCTATTGTATTCACTCAGGAGTTGGCGTCACACTTTTGTTAACTTTTTTGCATGCATGTCAAGTTCAAATTTACTTGAAAACTACTGAAGATAATGGGTTAAATCTTCACACTCTTATTTGAGAGCATAATAAGAGGTCACTGTCTACAGCCCATAACTCTGATATGGATTTTAAGAGAATTATGGTACTTTTTGAACTTGCAAATTCTACAGATATCCAGGTTTTAGTATTACTATGAAGCACTAAGGATAATCGAGCACACTGTCCTACTGACAGCTCTTGTTCTTGTTATGTAATATCAATATAATATATACTGAATAGTTTATTCTCTGCATAACCCAGCATGTCAACCATCATTTGTACTGCGAAGAGGCTAACTAATCTGCCTTTGTTGATAAATCACCAAGAAACAGATGATATGACCATAAGTTTTCCCCTCGCTAATTAGATCATAACAAAATATACAAACATGAAAGGACTACTGTAAATAGATACAGTTCAGTATAGCTAAGGTTTTGAGTCCTCAGCACTGCAAAACATTTTTTGAGGCAATTTTGATTGCCAGGCATTTGTCTAATTTTATTGATTACAGTGATTTGTGGGGGAATAAGAAAGTTTTTTATTGTCCTGGAGACTTATAATGGTTAGAACTGGAAGTTCAAAATTTACATTGACCAATAAAAATCCTGAGATTTGAAACTGAACTGAAAAATGTTTTATAACCTCAAGGTCAGGCTATGAATAGAATAACAAGAGCTGTCCGTAAGACAGCGCGCTCGACTTTTTTAGTGCTTGCCTATAATACAAAACATTGACAGTTAAGGGCCATAATTCAAATAAAATCTTTGACAGAATTACCTTCTCCTGGACATGTTTGGGAATCATGATTGTAAACAAGTATTCCAACTTTCAAATTAATATCTCAAACAGTTCAGTCAAAAAGTGGACTGGTACTAAAAACTTAACCAAGATTCTAAGTCGATAAAAGGCCTTAATTTTTAAAACAAATCCTTGACAGAGTTACCTTCTCTTGCGTACAGATGGGGGTAATGATGTGAAATAGCATTAAAAGTTTCAAAGCAATATCTCAAAGGGTTAAGGCAATAAGTGGATTTTACCCATATTCAATGTATTTTCTAAGTCAAAAAGGGGCATAATTCTGTCAAAAACCTTGACAGAGTTATGTCCTCTTGTCTGTTGATGAAGGTCGTGATGGTAAACAAGTATGGTCAGTTTCAAAGCAATACCTCCAATGGTTTTGAAATAAAGTGAGGTGGTACAAAAAAACTTAACCAAGATTCTAAGTCGATAAAAGGCCTTAATTTTTAAAACAAATCCTTGACAGAGTTACCTTCTCTTGCGTACAGATGGGGGTAATGATGTGAAATAGCATTAAAAGTTTCAAAGCAATATCTCAAAGGGTTAAGGCAATAAGTGGATTTTTACCCATATTCAATGTATTTTCTAAGTCAAAAAGGGCATAATTCTGTCAAAAACCTTGACAGAGTTATGTCCTCTTGTCTGTTGATGAAGGTCGTGATGGTAAACAAGTATGGTCAGTTTCAAAGCAATACCTCCAATGGTTTTGAAATAAAGTGAGGTGGTACAAAAAACTTAACCAAGATTCTAAGTCGATAAAAGGCCTTAATTTTTAAAACAAATCCTTGACAGAGTTACCTTCTCTTGCGTACAGATGGGGGTAATGATGTGAAATAGCATTAAAAAGTTTCAAAGCAATATCTCAAAGGGTTAAGGCAATAAGTGGATTTTTACCCATATTCAATGTATTTTCTAAGTCAAAAAGGGGCATAATTCTGTCAAAAACCTTGACAGAGTTATGTCCTCTTGTCTGTTGATGAAGGTCGTGATGGTAAACAAGTATGGTCAGTTTCAAAGCAATACCTCCAATGGTTTTGAAATAAAGTGAGGTGGTACAAAAAACTTAACCAAGCTCAATACACTTTCTAAGTCAAAAAAGGGCCATAATTCTGTCAAAAACCTTGACAGAGTTATGTACTCTTGTCTGTAGATGGAGGTTATGATGGTGAACAAGTATTGTAAGTTTCAAAGCCATACTTGTAATACTTCTGAAATAAAGTGGGGTGGTACGAAAAACTTAACCAAGGTGTGACGCCAACGCTAACGCTAACGCTAACGCCGACGCCGACGCCGACGCCGGGGCGAGTAGGATAGCTCCCCTTTTCATAGAAAAGTCGAGCTAAAAATACAACAAGCCCCTGTGATAACAGCCCTGTGTAAATGTACATACAATTCTATATAAGACAATAATTTTGAAAAGATTGAATAACTTTTATTCACTTTTAAAGTATAAATAAGATTCAGATATATACATTTTCATGCAAAATTACAAAAAAACACAAATTTGAATTTAGCAAAATTTTCAGATGCATGGAATATCAACAAAGTAATTTAGATTCTTTAAAGAACCACTTTCACAGTCATACTGCTCACTTTGTTTCAGTTTTTAAGCTTCATGTGTTAGTAATACCTCTAAATCTTTGAGAGATCACTCATTTTATAGCACATTCTATCCTTAATCCGTTTCTTATTTCATGTATAAGTTATTGGTGTCAAAAATTTATCTCTAGATAAGTACTTAATGTATAAAACATCAATTTCATTTTGAATTAATGTTTGTACACACATGAATACTGCACTTGTACATAAAAAATAAGTTTCTTCTTTCCCTTGGTTTTAATGTAGAAAAATTTTGCTTTAGTGTGAGTCACTTAAACACAGTTTGTAAAGCCTGTGACTTAAATATAAAACTATTTCACAACAATTCTCCCTACATAGGTCACTTTTTGTATTATAATGTGCTAAATCAGATGATATCATTCTCATATCTTCAAGTCAGTGCCATTCCGTTAGCTTCCATGTCAACCTGAAATCAGAAAATATTACTGATGTGAAAAACAACATCTTGTTTTCCTGATTCTAGTTTAATACATGTTAATACTTTGATTGATTAAAAGCTGTTCCTTGTTAATTCCTGTAGCCCTATTATAGACAAAATCTTCCCATAGTAAGCCACCTGGTCCTTTTTCACAAAGTTTATCAACCTCCAATGTACCCCTCTGTATTTGCAAACTCCTTGATTAATAGGGATCTAACCCCTTGAATAGTTGAAGTGCAAAGCGATAGTTATTTATTAACTGTTTCCAGACTGGTGCTTTTTTAGAAAGAGATAAAAATGTAATAGACTAAGTAATTTGTTGAAAAAACATCAACTGAATCTTCCTTTTAACAAAATTTTGATGAGACGAGTCAAACAACAGTTGAGATTGTTTCACCAGTGTTGTATTTTGAGTCTATTTATTAATATGTACACAGTGCGTGCACTTGTTATATATATATAACACAGACACATGTTGCTAGTTTTATCGTTTAACAACCACTGAATGTTCTAGGTGTATGAGTGATGGGAAGATAATAGATTACAATATTAGATAGTATTAAACTTATACAATATACAATAACCAGATTATCATGATCATCAGAATTATGTATAATGACCTTTACATAATTCAATGAAATCTGAAAATTCTGGAATTGTTTTCATGCAACATCCAGAAGTTTTCAGACGTAATTAATGTTTCTAAAATCTTCAATAATCTCTAGAAGTTACTTCAGCATGAACACATTTAAATGCATACAAATTTGATGTGAGTTAAAATAATAATAAAGTACCAAAGATTTAACAGGCACTTGCCTTTAAAAGTCATTTAAGATTTAAGTTTTCATTGACCCTATGAACTGACCACTATGAGCCTGACTACTAAACAACATTAAATTACATTGTATGAGAACACTATTTAGCTAGTTTACAGAAATTCCATGGTTCAATCTACAAGCATTTTTTTTAATTACTCATTGATTAGCCCTTACCAATCCTGAAAAGACGCCAGCCATATGACAACAGTTTCACTGTGACATAAAACCCAATAAATATACCAACCTCCTTTGTGACATAAAACCCAGTACATATATGAGCCAATATCAGATTTCGCCTGTAATCTTGTCCTTTTCAATTTTTCACAAAATGCATGATCATTTTATAAAAAAATAAATGTGCATGCTTGTAAGGACATAGAATATTGTAAACTAAGACATTCACAGGATAAGATATTAAACATATTTTTTTCTGGTAGTATCATAATCCTAAATTAAAACTGATTTTTCTTCGTCCTAAAGTCAAAATCCCAATTTCAGCTATTTATCATGTAAAATCGTAGTACTAAAATACATATTTTTAATAACTAACGCAAACTATAACTTTTTATAAAATATATTTATACAGTAAAAACCTCAAGTTAAGTATTTCAATTTGCAAAATTCAGTTATGATTTTGTCCCCAACTTTTTTGACAAAAATGTCCTTCAAGTAATAGTACTATAAGTAGATTATTTTAGTTTAAGTAAATTGTTGCAGTGTGCTCTTCAAAAGAAGATGATAGGTGAAATACATGGCTACAGCAACGAACCATATAGAAATTTTAAATAGGATTTAGAAAATTGGAAGACATTGATTAAAGGTTCTAACCATGATATCGAACAGTGTCCTTTAAGTAACGAGATACTAATTATTTAATTTATGAGAAAGATTCCCTTTTGTAATGCTGCTATTAGCAAATATGTTTCAGTCATGAATTAAATGATCAAAATTGTCTCCCTTATCTTATCTGTGTAAACATGCTGTAAAATAACCTGAATAAGTCCTTGCAGTAACTGTCCTTACAATAATGTTACTGCAAGTACAATATCTGTTACTGAAAGTACAAAATACAACACAATTTTTCTATAACATATAATTATGGATAAAGATACGATATACATTTTCTTGTTGGCATAATCTATTTATTATTCATATATTTATTTTATAATTAGACATTTAATTTATGCCATTTAAAACTTCTGCTTTATGTTATTTTGTTATTTGAAGGACAACCTGTGTTATTGAAAGGACTTTTTAATTCAAACTCAAAGTACTGTACTAACATATCTACATTCAAACTTGGAGAAAGTTTCTTTTTTGTTTCGGTATATACATATATATTCAATTGGGTTATTTTTTGCTTTTACAGTACATTGCTTTTGTTAAAATTGAGGAAAATCTGAATAATCTTGCACCCTTTAGAATCTTCAACATTAAGTTACTGTAAGGACAATATACATATTGTGTTAATTGAAATGCATGTCATTTCACAAACTGTAGCGATTTTAGAAATAAAAGTAATAAGGCAGTACAAGTATAAAGAAGGAAAGTACTATCTCTACAGAGACTTATTTTTTGCATAGAATTACAGTTTACTTTGCAAAATAGAAATCAAACCTAACTTGTATCATTCACAAGCAAGCCTTTAAGGCATTTTTACAAAAGAAAAATGTTGTCTTCAAAACTACTAAAATTATTTATTAAAAGTCGTCCCTTGAAAATTAGAACATGACTGTTTGTTTACATTCTAAGTCCTATTTTGACCTCTCTTAAAATTCCTGACATTATCGTAATTTGTGAACACAGTAAGTTACTATTTTCTTTTGTTTGCTTAAAATTTTGCACCAAAACTCTTAAGGTCAGTTGGCAAATTTAAAGTTTGAATTGTTGAAAAATACCCCAGGTTATTTCAGGCACAGAAGGGCCACTGACAATTTGTAAGGTAAATGAATGACTTTGTCACAAGAAAGAATCTCTGGAAATTGTTTACACTCATTCAGGATTAAAATTATGCATTCTAAAAGGCCAAGAACTTTTGCATTAAATTTTAATTATTTAACTTAGAAAACTCCTGATTAAAAATATAGCATGTAATATCAATCTTCAAAACTTCTGATGGTATTCTCTATGATCTTGTTTATAAAATTGACTGGGACGAGTTTAGACTGAATTATGCAAACTCACAACATTGCTTGGTTACCTTAAAGACTTGTAACTTTTCCCGGTTTTAAATTCATGTCTGTACAATTGTGAAATGTTTATATTTTATACAAATAGTAGTAATGGTGCTTGAATTCAAATGATTTTTGTTTGTAAATAAATGATAACACCTTATCATGTTTGTATTTTTTGTCACTTCAGTAACAAATATGTCTGTCCTGTAACTTTAAAAGAGTTCTTCCTTTACTTTTGTTATTCAAATTAAAGATCTATTTAAGAATAATTCAAAGCTTATTTTATTTCTGTATGTTGTTAACATTTAATTGTTAGTTCAATGATACAAAATAAACGTGAATTTACAGTAATAAGTCCTTTAAGTAACATTCATAAGTCCTTGCAGTAACAAGCATGTCCTTGGTGTAACACAGATTGATTTCTAGTTCTGCAATACAGCAACATGGAAAAAGTTTATTTTTGCATTCAAATTGATAAAACTTACTCTGTTCATTAAAATAGAACAATAAACAAGAGGGCCATGATGGCCCTGGGGTTGCTCACCTGAACATAGGCCCCCAGGGCCCGGCAAGTTTAAACGAAAGGGCTTTATTTGAACAAACTTGGAAGACACCCATTAGAAGATATTTCATGATGTTAAGTTTTTACTATACACAAATAATGAATAAAAATGACTTCCCCCCCCCCCCCCCCCCTGGCATGGCCAACTTTAACCCAAGGGCTTTTATTTGAACAAACTTGGTAGACACCCATTAGAACATGTTTCATGCTAAATATCTTAGCTCGAGCTCTTTGGGTTCTTTAAAAGAAGATTTTTAAGTATTTAATTACTATATGCAATAGAGGGAAAATCAATGACCCCCTAGGGCGGGCCAATTTTGACCCAAGGGCTTTTATTTGAACAAACTTGGTAAACATCCATTAGAACATGTTTCATGCTAAATATCTTAGCTCTAGCTCTTTGGGTTCTTTAATAGAAGATTTTTAACTTTTTACTCTATGTATATAGGGAAAATCAATGACCCCTGGGACGGGGCCAATTTTGACCCCAGGGCTTTTATTTGAACAAATTTGGTAGACACCCATTAGAACATGTTTCATGCTAAATATCTTAGCTCTAGCTCTTTGGGTTCTTTAAAAGAATTTTTTTTAAGTTTTTACTATATGCATATAGGGAAAATCAATGACCCCCTGGGGCGGGGCCAATTTTGACCCCAGGGCATTTATTTGAACAATCTTGGTAGACACTGATAAGAAGATGTTTCATGCTTAATATCTTAGCTCTAGCTCTTTGGGTTCTTTAAGAGAAGATTTTTTAAAGTTTTTACTATATGCATATAGGCAAAATCAATAACCCCTTGGGGCTGGGCCAATTTTGACCCCAGGGCTTTTATTTGAACAAACTTGGTAGACATCCATAAGAAAATGTTTAACGCCAAATATCTAAGCTCTAGCTCTCTTTGTTTTTTAGAAGAAGATTTAATAAAGTTTTTACTATATGCATATAGGGAAAATCAATGACCCCCTAGGGCGGAGCCAATTTTGACCCCAGGGCTTTTATTTGGACAATCTTGGTAGACACTAATTAGAAGATGTTTCATGCTTAATATCTTAGGTCTAGCTCTTTGGGTTCTTTAATAGAAGATTTTTTAAAGTTTTTACTATATGCATATAGGGAAAATCAATGACCCCCTGGGGCGGGGCCAATTTTGACCCCAGGGCTTTTATTTGAACAATCTTGGTAGACACTTATTAGAAGATGTTTCATGCTTAATATCTAAGCTCTAGCTCTTTGGGTTTTTTAGAAGAAGATGTTTTTAAGTTTTTACTATATGCATATAGGGAAAATCAATGACCCCCTGGGGCGGGGCCAATTTTGACCCCAGGGCTTTTATTTGAATAAAGTTGGTAGACGTCCATTAGAACATGTTTCATGCCAAATATCTAAGCTCTAGCTCTTTGGGTTTTTTAGAAGAAGATTTTTTAAGTTTTTACTATATGCATAAAGGGAAAATCAATGACCCCCTGGGGCGGGGCCAATTTTGACCCCAGGGCTTTTATTTGAACAATCTTGGTAGACACTCACTAGAAGATGTTTCATGCCAAATATCTAAGCTCTAGCTCTTTGGGTTTTCTAGAAGAAGATGTTTAAAGTTTTTTCTTTTGGTTGCCATGGCAACCAGAGTCCTGCATGGAATGGAATTCTTTGAACAACTTTGTTAAGGCTTCACACAAGGAACATCCCTGTGAAGTTTCATTATGATCTGCCTTAGGGTTTCAGAGGAGAAGTCGTTTGAAAAGTGTGAACGGACAACGTACGACGGACGACGGACGACAGACGACGGACGAAGAGTGATCCTAATAGCTCACCCTGAGCATATGCTCAGGTGAGCTAAACATGATATTCTTACGTGTGTGCAAAACATACTGACATTGTTTTACTCAATTTCCTGTTTTGTTTACGGTTGAAGAGGAAAAAAAGGTCTTTTGTAGAGAAAATATATACATCTATAAAAAACCCATTTAAGACTTAAACTAAAGTTTATATAAAGTTGTGTTGTTTGTTTTACTTTGTTGTTTAGATCTTATTATTTTATTAAAAATGTAAAAAACGTTATCGTTACTGCAAAGACAAACAATGGTCAACATTGACCTTCTGACAATAATGAAAGATGTGAAATAGACGAGTTTATGTTGCACTTTGTAAAACTAGCTTTCAAATTCATATGCTTACTAGATGAGATAAAACTTTGCAGCTAAATAAGGTATTCATATTTGAATAAAATCAGAACCTTAATTCGGACGAAATTTGATATTAGCTTGTATACCAACCTTCCAGTAAATATACCAACCTCCTCTGTGACATAAAACACAAGTAAATATACCAACCTCCACTGTGACATATAACCCAAGTAAATATACCAACCTCCTCAGTGACATATAACCCAAGTAAATATACCAACCTCCTCTGTGACATATAACCCAGTAAATATACCAACCTCCTCTTTGACATAAAACCCAGTAAATATACCAACCTCCTCAGTGACATAAAACCCAGTAAATATACCAACCTCCTCTGTGACATATAACCAAAGTAAATATACCAACCTCCTCTTTGACATAAAACCCAGTAAATATACCAACCTCCTCTGTGACATATAACCAAAGTAAATATACCAACCTCCTCTTTGACATAAAACCCAGTAAATATACCAACCTCCTCAGTGACATAAAACCCAGTAAATATACCAACCTCCTCTGTGACATATAACCCAGTAAATATACCAACCTCCTCCGTGACATATAACCCAGTAAATATACCAACCTCCGTGACATATAACCCAGTAAATATACCAACCTCCTCCGTGACATATAACCCAGTAAATATACCAACCTCCTCCATGACATATAAACCAGTAAATATACCAACCTCCTCGGTGACATAAAACCCAGTAAATATACCAACCTCCTCTGTGACATATAACCAAAGTAAATATACCAACCTCCTCTTTGACATAAAACCCAGTAAATATACCAACCTCCACTGTGACATATAACCCAAGTAAATATACCAACCTCCTCTTTGACATAAAACCCAGGAAATATACCAACCTCCTCAGTGACATAAAACCCAGTAAATATACCAACCTCCTCTGTGACATATAACCCAGTAAATATACCAACCTCCTCCATGACATATAACCCAGTAAATATACCAACCTCCTCCATGACATATAACCCAGTAAATATACCAACCTCCTCCGTGACATATAACCCAGTAAATATACCAACCTCCTCCATGACATATAAACCAGTAAATATACCAACCTCCTCGGAGACATAAAACCCAGTAAATATACCAACCTCCTCTGGTGAATCCCTGTCATCAATCATGTCTGTATCAAGTTCATCATCATTCGTATCACTCTCGTCATCGTCATCTTCACCATCATCATCATCTTCATCTTCTTCCTCGTCAAAATGCTGAATGAAAAAACAATACAAGTTATTTACTTGCAAAAATATTTTTACTAAAACCTTATGTTTTGATCACCATTATCACATATGATTACACTATTTTAGTGAATACTGGCATATAAAAACGAAGGGGGGTTTAAAGGACAAGTGGCAAAGTGGTTATCGTGTCTGCCTCTCAACCCATGGATCACAGGTTTAAGATATAATAGGGTCATGAGATGGTCTCATCACATGGTAGCGGTACTGATTAGTTCCTGGAAGCAAAATGGAGAGTGATTTGTATAAGCTCTAAACGTGCAATAATATTAAGCTAGATTAAATATGTTTAAACTGAGTGAAGTTTTCACTTTCCTGTGAGTATCTTTTTAAAGTTGATCTTCTTTTAATTCACATTACAGATCCTGTAACTCATTTTCTTTATGGTTTTATATCATAAATCTGATGCTCATGAAAATGAAGATTTATCAATATGGTAAGTTCAAAAAGCATTATTTGTAAAGATATTACCGAATTTACATTTCATGTTAATAAAGGAAGGTAATCAGAAATCTATTTCCGATAAAGTCTAAGCAAAATTTTTCAATAAGAAATAAATGCACAGATTTTAATGACTACTTTAATAATGCAAATAAACATTTGTAGTACACATTTAACATTTTTGGATGTTTGGAAATTGTTTTAGAAGAATAATTATATACATATATAAAATTCCAGTGAATAGTTGATACACAGCTCAATCGGTTACAGCCCAAGACATCTTGACATTGTGAGTTCGATTCCCGGGCTAGCCAACTAAAATTACTATTCAGTCTTTTGGATGAGACTTTAAATCAAGGTCCCGTGTATGAGTGCTTAAACACTTGGCATGTTAAAGAACAAGGAGAAGCTTCTGGATTTGGGGCATTTTTCTGTATCTGTAGCTTACACTACTGATCCTCCAAATAATAAAATGACTAATACTCTTCTGGAGGACTCACCAATATGGGCAACCGGTAACGAGTATAAATAAACTCAAAAACACACTTGTTACATCCTTAATTACAACATACAGGATCTTTAAAGTGACATCTATACATGCTTATATATCACAATGCCAAATAGACATTATCTGGAACTCACCAAATTTGGGTCTTTCCTAGCTAATCAGTAGGTACAAACCAACTTTTACTGTTTTAGCTTCACAGTGCACTATCCGTCACAATTATAAGATTAGTCAACCTGTTTTGGTTATTTTCGAAGCTATAACTGTAATTTAAGTTTATTTCTACCAATTTAATTTGTAAAAAATTTATTAGCTGGTAAAACCCCAAATATTCTTAATACCAGAGTTAGTCTAATATACAGTATTTTCTATGTATTGATATTATTTTTCCATTCACTCTGTAATGAAGCTTACCTTGTGATTTGTTTAATTCATATAAAACGTAAATTTATAATCTATAATTGATTTTATATTAAAACATTGACATGTAGTGATGTACTTGCCTCTGAGGCTGTTTTTCCAATGGGCACTGTGTGTTCATCTTTCTTTGAAATACTATCCACCTGGAAAATAACAGTAAAGTATCTTGATTAAATTTTCCTCACTGCTAAAGTCAGTTTTTTTTTACACTTAAAGGGGGATGGTGGCAAGGTCCATGGAGAGGGGGAAATTATGTTGCAGAAAGGAAAAAGCGAAAATTATAAAACTTCTGACACATCTCTGTTTTGCTTTTTAACAAATTAAAATTAAGTAATGTCAATTTATTGCACGGCAGCACCATTATGTGTAGTCAAGAGAATCTCTCTTCTATAGAGATTTGAACAAAAGACTTCTGGATTAGGAATAGGAGTACTATGCTCTATCCCTACATAAATTTTAAACACCTTGGTTATATAAATTGGCTGATTTTGTATAGGGTCAATAAATCTGCAAATGAAGAATTACAATCATCCTGGCCCCAAGTCGATCCAACCTCAAAATTGTCAATCCAGCAACACAATATTTCTGGTAAGTCAAAAAAAATTGTATGAAATTTATCAGATAATGGTGAGTTTCCTTGTGCAAGAAACTTTACGCTGACACCACCTACATGTACCCCCTGCAGCTGATCTGCTCCCTACCCCACAGCTGTTCAGTGCAGCAATATCTTGTATTGGCTTTGGCTTGACTGGCTATTGACTACACGTGTATATTTAAAAGGAAAACATTAATACGGGGAAGTCAAAGACCGGGCCCGCGAAGCGGGTCCGGGCTTTGGCTTGCCCGGCTATAGACTACACGTGTATATTTAAAAGAACATCAGATAAAAAACAATTTAAAAAATATATAGAATCCTATACCTATCAATGAAATTTTCAGTGTCAGTTCTAGTCGGGCGCCGCCATTTACAATGTAACTCAATGATAATAGGCGGGGTATTCCGATAACGGAACAAATCTCAACTTTTCGGATAAATGATAATCGTCGAGTGTTCCGAGTGAAAACGGAAGCGGTGCATGCAATACCGAATGACAACTTTTAAACGGAAAGAATGAAAGGAATTTTCAACGACTTCCCCGATCATAGGCTTTGCCTAATTTCATATTAATACGGGGAAGTCAAAGACCGGGCCCGCAAAGCGGGTCCGGGCTTTGGCTTGCCCGGCTATAGACTACACATGTATATTTAAAAGAAAATCAAATAAAAAACAATTAAAAAATATATAGAATTATTTACCTATCAATGAAATTTTCAGTGTCATTTCAAGTCGGGCGCCGCCATTTACAATGTAACTCAATGATAAAAGGCGGGGTATTCCGATAACGGAACAAATCTCAACTTTTCGGATCAATAATAAACGTCGAGTGTTCCGAGTGAAAACGGAAGCGGTGCATGTAATACCGAATGACAATTTTCAAAACAGAAAGAATGAAAGGAATTTTTTAACGACTTCCCCGTTCATAGGCATTGCCTAATTTCATATTATATAAACAATGAAAAGATTGCACCTGAATGGCTCTAAAGCTGTCAGTATTCCAATAACAGAACAATCACATCTTTTCTTAAGGAGTTTTTAAGGTGTTCACTGTTCAGATTGAAAATGCAAGATTTGACCTTTTTGGGTCGATTTGACTTGGGCCGATTTGATTGTTTTGTAAAGTATTTCGTAACAGCTAACGAATAGGAAGCAATTTACAATTTATTTCATACCCAAGACTGATACTCATCCTCTAGCTCAGATAATTCATTCTCATCGTCACAAAATTTGTCAACAGCAAACCAAAGTCGGTCAGTCGCTGAAGGGATCAATTTTGGAAATATGGGCGCAGCCATTTTGTTTTAGTAAATTTGTTGAGGCATAAGTTTCGAATGTCATATCACATTTTAAGTGGATATTATGTGAGACAGGCACATTATCACGTTATAAAAATATTTATTGACGGTTAAATTTTATTTCTTAATTAATTTTTATTGGGTTTGTCCACAAAAAATATCAATTTTCTTACGTACGAACAGTTTAGTATATAATCCAATAAGGAAGTGGCTAGCCGTACGGGCCCGTACGGCTAGCCAAAAGTTCTAGCCGTACGTGAGTCACGTACGACTAGCCTGGACACACTGTATTGGCTAGCCGTACGGCACTTTTCAAAATTATATGGAAGTCGAAAATGCATATGTTATTTTGTGTCTTTAAACGACGATTTTAATCAAATCTCTGCATTTGTCCTAGTGTGTTCACTTTAATAAAGATGCTCCGCAATTTTGCAAAAAAAAAATGAATACGAGTAAGCGTTGTATAATCTATCTTAATAAAATTAAGTGTCAAAGTTGCATGTTATAACGTCCTTAATTTTCATGCTTATGATTTGTATGAAAGATGAATTATTAAATCATTATTGTTAATTAAGCACATGGATCGAATAAATAATGATCGGAGGGGAATGAATAAATAAATAAATGAAAAGAACATTAAAAAAACGGTGAAAAGGAAAAATAATTTAATAATGCAAACTTTCCTTAATGATGGACGATGAACAAACTTCTATACCGTCGGTATTTGACGCAATTATCAGAGCCCGACAACAATTATTTTCGGTGGTTTTTTTTTTTTTTTTTCAATTTAAAAATTAAACTTAATGAAACAAAAAATGATTATTATCAAAATTTTGTAAACTATTTCAATTGATGTTATTTAACTGCAACCAAACGCTATTTTTTCTCGACGTCTTGTGATGACAAAGTACGTACATTCTTTACTGTAGCCAACACGTCGATTAATCTCTAAAAAGTAAACATTCTTGACTAAAATCCTCGCTTAAAGTCATAATTAACATATGCACTTTCGCCTTCCATATATTTTTGAAAAGTGCCGTACGGCTAGCCAATACAGTGTGTCCTGGCTAGTCGTACGTGACTCACGTACGGCTAGAACTTTTGGCTAGCCGTACGGGCCCGTACGGCTAGCCACTTCCATAAAATAATGATAGCTCTAGCTGAAATATTTACTTCCGGCAAAACAATTTCACGTGTTTTCTGTTTGGCAAAATTTAATAATAAAAAATGAGTGATAGAAATAGAAATAAACTTCCAAATAACTTACCACAGCTACAAAATCTGATAAAGCGGGATCCTGGATCATACAAAGATGAGGTATATTGTTTCACTAACAATATTCTCCTCTATAAATTTTATTATTTAAGTTTTTTTTTCAAATTGAATTATAGAAATTTTTTGTTAACTTTAAATACTGTAAACAGAAGAACAAGAAGCTTAAAATGGTGGTGCTGGTGTTGGTAGTTTTCACCTCGGATCATGGCAGTAAGCCACACTGAATTTTCCAGAGTACAGTTCAGCCTAGTCCTATAAATATGACGTCGCTTTGAGATATTTTTGCTTCTGGGCAAAGCAACGTCATATCGAAATTGCTCAAAAACCCATAGCATGTTCCGCCTGAAAATCGGGCGGAACAAGAAACAATGAAGACAGCGTGTATTTACATAATTTTTGACCTATTTATGAACAAAACTGAAAAATAAATACCTTTTGTCAAAATAATTAAGGAAGTGGCTAGCCGTACGGGTCCGTACGGCTAGCCAAAAGTTCTAGCCGTACGTGAGTCACGTACGACTAGCCTGGACAAACTGTATTGGCTAGCCGTACGGCACTTTTCAAAAGTATATGGAAGTCGAAATGCATATTTTATTTTGTGTCTTTAAACGACGATTTTAATCAAATCTCCGCATTTTTCCTAGTTTGTTCACTTCAATAAAGATGCTCCGCAATTTTGCAAAAAAAAAAAAAAATGAATACGAGTAAGCGTTGTATAATCTAGCTTAATAAAATTAACGTCCTTAATGTTCATGCTTATGATTTGTATGAAAGATGAATTGTTAAATCTGTTTAGCACATGGATCGAATAAATAATGATCGGAGGGGAATAAATAAATACATGTAAATAAAAAAAGAATATTAAAAAAAAACAGTGAAAAAGAAAAATAATTTAATAATGCAAACTTTCCTTAATGATGGACGATGGACAAACTTCTATACCGACGGTAATTGACGCAATTATCAGAGCCCAACAACAATTATTTTTGGTGTTTTTTTTTTTTCAATTTAAAAATTAAACTTAATGGAACAAAAAAAAGGATTATCATCAAAATTTTGTAAACTACTTCAATTGATGTTATTTAACTGCAACCAAACGCTATTTTTTCTCGACGTCTTGAGATGACGAAGTACATTCTTTACTGTAGCCAACGCGTCGATTAATCTCTAAAAAGTAAACATTCTTGTCTAAAATTCTCGCTTTAAGTCATAATTAACATATGCACTTTCGCCTTCCATATATTTTTGAAAAGTGCCGTACGGCTAGCCAATACAGTGTGTCCTGGCTAGTCGTACGTGACTCACGTACGGCTAGAACTTTTGGCTAGCCGTACGGGCCCGTACGGCTAGCCACTTCCAATAATTAAACTGTCACATCCGAAAAATCATGAGTAAATCCTCTCATGTATTTCAATTCCTTTTACAGCCGATAAACAAATGGCTGCCGTAAAGTGCGCGAAATCTGATTGGCTAATTCAAATGCAAGCGTTTAACTGAGTCAGAACAATCTAACGGAATATTTTTTTAACGAAATAATTGCCCATGCACCGTCAGTGTGTTCGAATATATTTTCCGTTCAAAAATTTGGAATTAATCTGTAAAGCACCTTGCTCAACCAGTATGGCTGATAGACAAAAATAGATTGATGTTTATATTTTATTTTCAATTGATAAGTACATCGTTTGAAAGTTTTTGTGTATGATTGAGCATGGAATTGAAAGAAAATATGATAAGCTTTTGAATAAAGCTTGAAAGGCAAGACAATAGACATTTTTGGAATTTTTTATGATGCTATGCGTTTTTGAGCAATAACTATTAGACGTCAGGCTTGACCGACAAAAACTATAACAAGCCTGTAACGTCTAATATATTGGACTAAGTTCAGCCATGTCATGGTGTCGAGCAGTTTAGTCACTTTCGCAAGGAACTGAAACTTCAGACAATCAGTACATGCAAGAGGGAAACGCCTGATTCACAGTCTCTAACTGGCAGCTATGTAGCTTCAAAGGAGCTTGACATTTATAAATAATTGAAGAAAATAAACATATAATTAAAAAATAACACAAATATACTCCTCTATACTATTCACGAATTCGAAAACCTAGCTAAACGCCGTTTTCCGGTACTTTCTGTACATAGCTCTGGGGAATTTACCTAATGGAGTGTAATTATAGCAAACTCAATGTTTTCGGCCTTTTTTTAAATTAAATTGAAATAAAACAGTTATTTCTTTATAAGAAAATAATTAAATATCATTGTATAAATAATTCCATACAAAAAATAAAATAAATACACAAGTTAACGCAGAAAATAACCTTATTTATTATGGAAGATTCCACTACGTCTGTTTGAATTTTATTGATTTTCATTATAAACAATTTACTTTTTTGAATAATTTGCAATAGATATTAAATGGATATTTATAATTTTCAAAAACATCATTTTTTTCACCTTAAACGGTTAAATAATGATAGGAAAATAGAAATATCTCGTAAATGTGTTATGTACTTCATTGGTGTAATTCCCCAGAGCTAAAACGGTAACGTACCGAAAAACGGTGTTTAGCTATGTTTTCGAAAAGGTCAATAAACACAGATATAATATGAAATTAGGTGCTACCTATGGCGCGGAAAGCTCTTATGAATTATGATTTTAGCCTAACATATTTAGTGTACATGTAAACCAGATCTTACTTGAAGGTATTTTGCACCTTAAACAAAACAAATAAATTGGTGGCGTTCAATCCTATCATTGTAGCGCTCGGAATATTCTGAAAATCTCTGAACGTAAAGGGGGATCTCTGTGCATGCGTCGGTGTTTGGAAAATCCCGTCCGTCATTTTTGTTAATCTCTAATCACAGTTGTTGTTTTAACGTTATTTTTAATGTGCTAGTTTATCAAAAAGGATATCTTAAAGTAACTTTTTATATTTATAATCGTTACTTTAATTCTTATCAATGAAATGCAAGTTTATTTTCTGATTTTGTACATCATTCTGTCACCGGAAGTGTTACTAAGCATGCGTCTGCTAGCAATAGTCTGAATTATGTAGACGCTCATTAAAAGCGCTCTGATATCTATATTTAGCTCAAAAGGATTTCAAAATGGCGGCGCCCAGCGTATTTCCACGTATAAACAACGGACAGGATACTCCAAAAATAGACAAGAGTCCGATTCATACCCACAATGCTTTGCACGCTTCGGTGATAATCGGGTGAGCGACTTCAGGGCCATTATGGCCCTCTTGTTGCTTTTCTATTTTGAAGAACTTGCTAAAAGCTTGTGTTGAATTTGAGACCCCTTCCCATTAAGTGTGCCAAAATCACACATATTTTCCCCAAGAAAAAGGGTGAGCCCCCCTCTCCAAAAATGATGTTTTGGCCTCAGTGGTATTTTTCCCTTCTATAGCAGGGGCCGTAAAAGGGCTGCTTCTCTAAAGAGAAATATTGCAATATTTAAAATCATGCAGTTTTCCCCAAAAATTGAATTTACATCAAGTTTTTTCTTCCCCTTTTGCAAATATACTGTGTCATTTTTCCCAAAAATTAAGGACTGGGCTGCTTCCCCAACCTGTGAAAAGCCCTGTCTGTTCTAGATTAAACAACATGCTGTGCAATACATAAATAGCAATACATACAAGGCAGATAGTAAAGGAAATATCGTGGTACAACAGTTCTGTTCTGCCTGATGCTGTATCCCAATATACTGGTAAATCGGCACCTCTAATAGAGGTATATTGAAAATATGGAATTTCAGCACCAAATAAAATTGAAATTTATTGTATTTCAGTTTCTACAACAGTTCAGACATTATGAGTCCAACTTACAAATATTTCAACTGAAGCCATCACAATACTCAAAGACACTCGATGAATTGGTGATTTTCCTAGCCCAGGTTTGTTCTTTCTGTATTCCATAAAGAATAATAAATGTCTTTGATATATTCAGGTTTTTTATTCTCATTGAATAATAAATGGTCAGTAAAATACATCTATTTTGCTATGAACTGTGAATCAGGGCTACGTTTCATGAAGAGTCTTAAGTTAATCCTAAATCTTAGGACTTATGACCAACTTTAGGAGAAAAAGTTTTTGCACTTAAGACCGTTTCAAGTAACTGTCCTATCTTTTGTCTTAAACTTAAGACTTATGACCAATTCGCTTCTCCTGAAAAAAGTTTACAAAATACAATGGCGCACGTGCAAAATCCCGGATTGGATTTACTTATGTAATTGATTATAGCAAGTATTAAAAGTGAAAATATATACCATATTTCTCGAAAAACGATAAAATAACCGTTTCATTTAATTTCATAGTAAAAAACTGCTTACGAAACCCCTTGCTTGCTACGCAACTGCGATTGTACATCGCGCAGTAATATTATTATTCATAGATGCGTCATGTTTTTGCACGCTATTTTTGGCGCTACGTTGTGACGTCATGTAAAAAAAAACTCTTTAAACGTCTGTACGCGTTAATTACTGAATTAAAAATATTTGGTTTCGGATTTATTTTCTTAGTTAGACCATTTATCTATCATTTCAAGATAGTTTTCAAAACAAAATTCAACAAAAAGTTGTTGATTTGGAGTGGTTTTTGACTTAGGACAATCTTAAGATACCTTTAAAACACTCCTAGACTTAGGACTGTTTTTGGTCACAAGTATAGGAGTCATAATTAGGACCTTTTTTAAGACTTCTTTGTGAACGCAAAATTGTCACAATTTTTATCTTAAGACAAACTTAAGCTTAGGACTCTCCATGAAAACGCAGCCCAGTTATTAACCACGTCAAGTTTGAATTTTTCTCTAAAACCAGATGAAAACAACCTGATGCCATAGCCCCAGTCCCCTGCAGGTAATAAGGGGGAGGACTTGGTGCAGGAGTTAACTACCCTTTCAGGAAAGGCTGCAGTGTGAATTGCATATGGCTTTTATTTTTGGCTCATAGATAATAGGTTCAAAAGTTCAAAGATGTAACTACTGTGACTTTCAAAATGTTTACATGTAAAAAGTATATAATTATAGTAAAATTTTGTTTCAAGATAAAAATTTCTTAATTGAACATATCTTTATACAATTGATAAAAAGTTCTTCTTGTAGTGGCAAAGTAACATGTTACTGTATAGTATACATTTATGGTTTACATTGTATTTATCAAATTTCAGGTAGCACATTGCTATCCAGAGGAAATGAAAGATTTCCCGCAGGCTGTGAGAGATGTTTTGCAGAGACATTCTTCAACATTAGACAGAACTATTAGAATGGTATAACATCTTAAATTCTTAATGACAATAATTACTGATCTATGCCACCATTGTAGACTCAGGCCAGCTTTAAAATTTTCGGCAGCCTGTTCAGACACTATTTAATTTAGTACTTTGATTTAAAACTCACGATAAGAACTTCTGGATTATAGCATGTGTTATTATATTATAAGCAGTATAAACTTATTTCTCCAACTATAAGACTGGGTTTTTTTCTTCCATTTTGAAGAAATATTAGTATTACTCAAGATACTTGATAAATTATATATTATTTACAGACATTGTGTAAAGCACTGATACTGCTGAGAAATAAAGGCCTGGTACCAGCTACAAGTGTTCTAGAACTTTTCTTTGAGATGTTCCGATGCCAGGATAAACTGCTGAGGAAGACATTATATACATACATTGTCAGCGACATTAAAAATGTCAACATAAACCACAAAAATGCTAAATTAAATACAGTAAGTATTTGTTACTTCCATTTACAACATTTCATGATTTTCTTGCCTTATCTTTAGTGACATTATCATTATGCTCGATTTTTTCATTGTCAAGTTGAGCTGATTTGACTATATATTTCAAAAGGCTGACTGTTATACTGGTGATTGACCAATAGTTGATTTGAAAATAATTGGGATAAAATATAAATCTGCACAAATTATAAAAAGACTGTTCCACTCATTTTATAAATTGAATGTTACATTCTGAGTGATATTTACAGAAATTTCATTGGACAACATGATTTATTTAATGATTTTAATCATTCATGTGAACTTACAATTACAAAAAAAAAAACATCTTTCTATTTTTATTCAATATTGTTGTATGATAACATTTTCTTTGATATTTTTGAACACTTTGTATTACTATGTTATTAGATACTCTGTATTTCTTTATATTATATTGATCATTATTATTTGCAGACTCTACAGAACTTCATGTACACCATGTTAAAAGATAACAACCCTGTAGCTGCTAAAATGTCACTGGTAAAATATTCATTACTATTATAGCTAGGACATATCTTGTAGTCTTAAAATAATTCTGTATCAGTATATAAATGTAATTCTTTCCTTTGGTTCTTGTCATGTAATTAAAAGTATATGTACTATACATTGTATTAAGAATACATGTTTCATTTTGTTACAATTGGGTGGATGTAATAAAGTCTTTTGTAAAACAGTAGAAAATGATTATTATGAGTGTTAAGATATAGAGATAATCGTTTTTATGTGTTTTAGTTAGTTCTTCACTATACAAGTTTAACTAAATCTATGATAGTTACCTTGCTCTCTCAGACAAGAGACAGATAACTGAGTTTATATAACAGTTTGTTTGCTCAGCTGTTAAGATAAAGGATGGCAACAATTTTCTTCAAGGCTTTTAAAGAATATTGGGGCTATCCTCATGTTGACATTAGCATCATGTGGAAGTACATTTAATACTGAAATATGCATCTTTGTGAAAGTAAAATTAAATTCTTTGTTAATGATTTGTGTGCATGCTCTTTCTCTATAGCCACTTAAGGTATTTACTTTAAGTTTAGCACATGTCTACAGGGTCATACAAGTAGATTGCTGACAGACACTTCACACTAGCATAGATTTTGAAAAGAATATTACCATATGTGAAATTCTTAATAAAGGTTTAGTATGAAAGTTCTATGCATGTGATGAAATTATTTTTGTCAATATTTTATTTCAGGATGTGATGATTGAACTGTACAGAAGAAATATTTGGAAAGATGCTAAAACAGTGAATGTTATTACAACAGCATGTTTCTCTAAAGTGACGAAGGTATTGTTGCTTTCTAAATTTCTGAAATATTGTCTATAGATTTTTATCGAACTGT